ACTGTCGATTCTATCGATAGCGCTAAAAACAAGCGTCTATACACACCGAAGGCTCTCCGCATCCGATGATGTCCGATCACCTTCGGATCATTCGCAGCTGCCTTTCGCGCGCGTTTGATTTTCACCCAGCTACTTCTTATTATTTGTGGTTATATACAGATTGTCAACTTGTTTTGTACTTGTGTGGATTTGGATTTAGTGTATTTTTTTGAGTTTTTCCAGAATGACTTGGTGCCCCATTTGTAATAAATCGTTTCACAACGCCAGTAGCTTAAGGGAACATGCAAGAAAGTTTCATCCTGGTCAGTATTAAGCTAAGCTAAGATACCTATATTATTAGGTATTAACATTTCACAAGGATGAAGTCTCCTATGGAGTCTGTGAATGGAGTATAATAAAAATGAATGTAAATAATCGTATATTATTCGTAGATACACTGGATGAAATAGCTCCTAAAAAAAGGAAATCCAGCCAAGCTGTCCTGTGCCATGAATGTGGTGAATCTTTATCAAAAGTAGCAAATTTGAATCGGCATATGAAAATATTTCACCAATACTCTCATGAGTCTCATGATATCTCACAGGATACTAAGGCAGAAAAATTCAAAACTGAAAACATCAGTTTCCCCAATGAAGATGAATTTTATTCCTGGAAAACTGAGATAGAAAAAGAAACAAAAAGTAAGTTTGTTAATGAACATGGATCCTATTCTTCTGAAAATTATACAAAAAAAAAATTCATTTGCCATCGATCTGGCACATATAAATCTGCAGAATCCAGGAAGAGACATTTAAAGGTACAAGGCAGCAATAAAATTGATGGATTTTGCCCAGCTGAAATATCACTCAAGGTACTGAATAATGGAAAATGTGAAGTTGAGTTTGTAAATGTTCATATTGGCCATAATCAAGATTTTGCACACATAACTCTGAGTAAAACTGAGAGAGGCACTATAGCTGCCAAAATTGCAGCTAAAATTCCTTTTCAAACCATCCTTGATGAAGTAAGAGATGAATGTCTTTCAGGAGATAAACTGGAGAGAATGCACCTCCTTACTAAGAAGGATTTATATAATATTGCACAGTGTTTTAATCTGAACAATGAAGCAGTGAGGCATGTGAATGATGCTGTGAGCGTTGATGCCTGGGTGAGAGAAGTTGAGGATATATGTGTTTTATTCTATAAACCACAAGATACTTTATCTGCAACATATCCGCTCCTGAAAAATGAAGATTTTTTACTAATCATAATGAATCAAGGCCAGGCAGATATGCTAGAAAAATACAGCAGTGATGTTATTTGTATAGATGGAACCCATGGGCTCAATGGATATGAGTTTGAGTTAGTGACATTACTTGTTTTGGATGATATGAGGGAAGGTTTCCCTTCTGCATTTTTAATTTCAAATAGGACAGATGAGGCTGTAATGCAAATTTTTTTTTCTGTCATAAAAAATAAGCTAGGAAGAAATTTACAGCCCAAAATATTCATGTCTGATATGGCACAGTCATTTTATAATGCCTGGCTCCAAATAATGGGGCCTGTAGAATATCGGTATGTTTATTCTGTATTTGTATGTATGGGGGATTTTATCTCATTGACAGCAATATTAATTTTGTTCTATTTTTTTTTAATATGTGTTACAGGTTGTTTTGCACTTGGCATGTTGATCGAGCTTGGAGAAAAAATTTGAACAAAATCAACACAAAAGAGAAACAAGTACTCAAATATTTTCATGATTATTTCTTATAGAGTTGTGACATTTTCATCCATATAGGTACTTTATTATATATGATTATTATTTTCAGATTATGGTATACAAAATGCTAAGAACATTACTCCATGAAAGGGATGCAAATGGTTTCACACAAATGTGTACTAATTTCATTGAATTTTTATTTTCTAATTCTGACACAAAGGAGTTTGGTGTATATTTCCAAGAATATTATTTGAAGAATGTACAGTCATGGGCTTATTGTTATCGAATAAATTGTGGTATCAATACCAATATGCATTTAGAAAGAATGCATAGAACCCTAAAACATATCTATTTGAATGGAAGAATTATAAAGAGGCTAGATAAAGCTATAAATATATTAATGAAATTCATACGTGACAAGTTGTTTGAAAGATTGATTGTAATGGGTAAAGGAAAAATTTGTACAAAAATCAAAGTTCTGAGAAATAGGCATAAAGCAAGTGAAACATTAGATGCTAAACGTGTGATTGAAACGGATTCAGGATTTGGAGTACCATCATCATCAACAAATGAAATCTATCTGGTTCAAGAAAGACAACCAAATTGTACCTGCAAATTAGTTTGTACTGAATGCCGAATTTGTCTCCACCACTATTCCTGCACATGCATAGATTCATGTATCAAGTGGAATATGTGCAAACACATACATTTAGTTTGCAGGTCATTGAAGGAGCATCATATTGATATAATTAAAAAACAAGATATTGATTCTGTTCATCCTGATCCTGATATAGACACTGATTTGACAGCAGAAATAGGTATATTTTTAATGATTATTGTCATTATCACAATCATTCTCAAAATAATAATAATGATAATTATTGGTATTATTGTATATTTTCATCACTATACTAGGTATAAAAATAATAGTATATTAGTATTAATATTGAAATCAATGAATTAAATATTTTCATATAAACCAATATATACAGGGTGTATCTGAATAACACCGAAAGAATTCAAGGAGTGTTTCCTTGTGACATTCTAGCAAATAAAGTTCATATAAACATGTGTCCTAACTTTCTCCATTTTTGAGATACAGGATGTTGAAGTTGGAAGTATTAATTGTTTTTATTTATAACCCCCTGTATAAGCTTTCATGGTGCCAAAATTCAGCATGGATAGAGACTGAGAAAGCCCCAAAAATTCAAAATGATTCTAATTGGTGTTATTGAGCAATCTCAATGGAAGTCTTGAAAAAACCTACATTGAAATTTGGAGTCAAATCGAATTTTTATAGTTTCCTCAGAAACTCAGCTAGATACAAAAATCACACTGAAGATAAAAAAGTTGTTATTTCAATAGTTCAATCTAATAAAAATATGAAACTCAGAAAAACCGGTGACGTACAATGAGATTCACGACCATGAATATCCATAAATTTTACCCACTGTGACGCCACTGGAAATATTATTTCGAATCTAATTGCACCAGAAGAAGCTCCATATTACTATTAACAAAACCAAAACGTTTTATTGAAATTGATGAAAAGACAATTGAGAAATGAATAGAAAAGGATTTTTCATGGAAATATCAATACCCTGTATCTCGAAAACGAAACAATAAGTTAGGACACATGTTTATATGAACTTTATTTCTAAACATATCACAAGGAATCGCCCCTTGAATTTTTTCGGTGATATTCAGATACACCCTGTATACCTATAAATTGTGATTTGCCATTATCATAAAATTTTCATTTATCCTGTTTCAGAATTCGCATATTTGCATTCAAGGTAAAACCATATGTATATATTTTCAATTGGTTCTAGGTAGTCTGGTTTTGGGTATTTTAATATTATTTTGTATTGTGATTTTATTGGTTAATTTATTCAATGAGAATGTGTTTCAATTCCTGTCCAATAACTATTTCGTAGATCCATAATAGTAGTTTGAGTAGTGAGTATGGAAAAAAGCACCTTTAGAAGATTTCTCGGAAAAGTCCTGTAAAGAGCGTTTTTCGCGAATGAGGGACATTAGGCACATGTCTTTCTTTACATTTCACATATTTTATTATTCAACCATTACTTTTATATACTTGTGTAAAGTATACAAGAGGTGGCCCATCGAGAACTATCATTATATTTTATCATTTATACCTTATGTCAAGTTATTGATGGACCACCTTGTATGCATTACTTATTGTTAGCTATTATATCTATATTGAGTCCAAAAAAATGTCAGAATATTGGGGCCCGTACAGGCCCAAGTATCCACAATTTGCAACTTTTCAAAATGTGCGTAGCACATGAACATTTTATCGAATTACTTTTAATCCTAAAGAATTAATAGGTTTTTTCAGGTATTTTGCTTGGTGGCTATATACTGTGATCATTTTCCATATATAAGGTTATTGCCCTGATGCTCATATAGGCGTTTCTAGATGTGCAGACATTTGGTACCTCTATATTCAACCTTTTTATTCTTTCCTGTAGATGAGAGAAATTTATTAGTAATCAAAGAGAGCTTTGATTGTGATTCTGGCCAACAGAAGATTCTGGAAGGATTAAGAGAAAAAAGAGAAACCAATGAGCTGAATTGCGAAAAAGAAAAATTCAAACTTGAACTCATCAAACTCGTAGATAGTATTGAGTCACATGATGAATTGCGCACATTTCAGAGATTCACTGCACCCGTACAGCCTACATTCATAGCGATGAGGAGGGAGAAAACCAATATGGCATTTCCGGACAATTTACAATACAAAACGCCTCAAAATAAAAAAATAATTCAACAGAGACGTTTATACAGAACAACAAAAAAAGCTGTTCCTAATAAACGTTCAAGTAATAAATTAATCCATGCAGATGATATGGACGCCGATGATATTGCAATAAACCTAATGTATCCACCAAAATCAATAAATTAATAAGTAAATAAGTTGTGTTTATTTTGTCAATCTTGTCCTGATATAAAAAAAAAAACATGTGAGGCCTTTGCAATGTTTAGCTCTCGCAATGATTTGTTTCTCAAAGTAAATTCGGAAAGAAAAAAATATTTTGCATAATTTTTCCAAAACATTACGCTCGATCACTTGATACTCATGGATTATTATTATGCTTTCAAATTTGGCGCGTGCTCTGCATCAGCGGCGACGTCCGACCATGATCGGACATCATCGGATGCGGAGAGCCTTCGGTGTGTATAGACGCTTGTTTCCGCTATTGATACTATCGATAGCGCTATCGATAGTTTTCCACCACTATAAACCATAACCTCAAAATCCGTTTGAAAGCAAAACAAAAATAAAAGTATTCTTGAATGGAAAAGGAATATAAATTTGGAAGGATATGGATAAGAACAAGTCTCAAACTTATATTTTGAGTGTAAATGACTTTGGCCAGAAAATCTGTACATCACAAACAGACCCTAATGAAAAGTTAGTTGCTTGTGGAAAACTTGTAGGTTGTTACAGCTAATAACTAATTCTTCAGATTCATTCTCGATGATGATGGAAACATGACTGAATTCTTTCCCGAAAAATCAATGGGCACCGTCAAATTAGACCCACATGGTAACATAAGTGAGGAAGACAGTAATGACACTAATAATACTGAAAACCAAGATATTATCACTCTGGAAGACCCCACTCAATTAGGTAGGACTAAGAAATCAGTTGCTGGATAACACTGCATTATCTCCATTTCCAGGAATAATGAATTCTTTGGATGGTGTGTCTGAATTTGAGGAAAACCTAATGAATGAATTGGATTCTGATTTCATGAATTTGGTACCCAACCCTCAGTCTCAATACATAATGCAGCACATGGATATCAGAGAGCCTCTATCAAAATTGAGGAAGCTCATTGAGAATAGGCTAGGTGTGGGTTTGCAAGGTTATGTTTTTGCTCTTCAGGGTGTTCAGATAGTATGTTACATTGAATAATGTCACTATAATTGTTTTTATTTGATTTTTGTTTGCTTTTAGTTGGAAGATCATAAGAATCTAGTTGATCAATGTGTACAGGGTGAAGGCTTAGTCCAAGTTAATGTTCAAGTTCAAACAAATGTCAAGAGAATCAATATAATTGATGTACTGAAACCAGCTGAGGACTATGTGCACATAGGTTTGTCAATTTATTGTTATATTTGTTCATTAAATGAATCAATGAAATGAGAATTTCAAAACCTTGTTGTCAAATGGAATTGAGTTTGTCAATGAGAGATGATTCTTTTATTGACATATTTTGTTGTATTATTTTCTTGATTATCTTAGAGGATATGGATCAGGAAGAAATCTCTGAAAAGGAAAACATTGAGGAAACACCTGCTCCAGCAACTGAAGCCAAACCAAAAAATATAGTACAGTGGCAGGTGGATACAAATTATAAAAAAGAACAGGAGAGATTGAAAATCCCCTCTGATCCCAAAGAATGGTGAGCTTTAAATTATTTACATAAACTCCTATACTAGAACTGCTCGATATGATTAAGATACATATTGAATTTTTTTTCAAAATGAACAAATGAACTAGACATGTATTTTTCACATTTGATTATGTATACCTACATATTGATATAGAATATCTGAAACACCATTGAAACCAAAATATCTCAGGGTTATGAAAAGAAAAATAACATGTATGTCCTTATTGCTCCTCTTAGCTATGTGCAAGGTATGAAAAATATTGTGAGTACAATTTTTTTACTCTCAAATGCCTTCTTGCCCACAATGGACATATATATATGTATGTATATATATTCTTCCATGAATCTTCCTTCCTTCCTCTTTGATTTTGTTCCTGTGTATATTTTTTGCATTGCATTGTTTATAATAGGTATATATTACATAAAATACATACAACAAATAAGGAACAAATAACACAATAATTAATGTAAAGTTATTTTAGAAAAAAACAAGTATTCAAACCAAGAATGAATAATAATAATATATCATAAAATTTGAGTGTACCAAGCAAATATTCCTTGAAATTAATTTAAGATTTCTGCATCATTTAGATTTTTCATTTAAGTAATGCATGTTAGTAGGTAGCTATATGAAATTATTTTACTAGGGAATGTCAATTTCAACTAGGGAATGTTGTTTGTCTAGGGAAATTAGACTTATGATTATTTGTTACCAAGAAATTTAATTATCTTGTTTCATGGGTAGGAATGTATTGACTTTAATAAAATTCAAATTTGATATTTTTAATTCCTTCTTGACAAAATGAATACAACAACAAACCTCTAGAATGTATAATGAATTGAGATTCCACTGTTTTTGAGGTTTGTATAGATTTCTAGTTGGTTTAAAAAATTTTGAATTCAAAATATTTGTATATAGCCAATTTTATATTGAATATTGCAAATTTGAGTGAATAAGACAAAAATCAATTATCTAACAGATCTAAAATTTCGAATTTTCACTATGACCTTTCATCCATATAAAGACCTGAAAATATTTTCCAACATCTGAATATTAATAATATTTCTCCTGTTGAAGAATAGTGTATTATTACAATACATCCTCATACATCAGATGTTTTTTTAGATATACATATTTATATGAAGATTTATCATAATTGAGAGTCAGTTTATGAATTTTAAGCCAAGATATTTTTTAAACCACTTTCAACATCTACATTGTCATCCATAAAGTTGGCATCATAAGGGAAAAACTTTTAATAATAAATTATTTTGAAATTCTACTTGGGCGTTAATTTTTGCTTCAAAAAATATGAAATGGCCTACTCAGTCGGAGTCACGCGGCTTTCGCCACATGTCAAAAGTTACATATTTTCAAATCAATAAGTGAACATAGGCTTATTTGGTCGAATTTCAAAATCGTTTGAACATTCTATTGCAACTTTCAGTTCTTGATATTTTTTTATTTCTTCTTATTGTAACGTCGACAAAACTCCTAAAGTTTGGTTTTGCTATGTAAAGTAGTTTGATGATATTTTGATAGATCAATTTGGCATCATTTCAGTACTGAAATAATCAATTTAAATAAATTTCGCATCTGAATGATAGGATTCATCAACTTTGCATCAAACGTAACAGAAGTTTTAATTGAATATTTTCTGAAGAAACCCATATTTTTGTCGATAATTAGTGATTGAAAGTTAGTAGCATGATAAAGCTACTAGATAGAAATAGTTTCGTCGGTGTTTATTTTTTTAATATTACCGACATTTCGTAGACATTGAAAACATATGAAAAATCAAAAGTTGTTATAAAATGTTCAATTTCGAGACACATATGTAAAATTGGAATAGAAACAACTTTTCTGAGTCAAATTTTCCGAAATTCAAACAAATAAGACTATTTTCAGCAATTAATTTAACTTTTGACATGTAGCTAATCATGTGACCGCGATCGAGTAGTCCTTTTTTTCCATATTTTTAAAAGCAGAACTTAACGCACAAGTCGAATTCAAAATGAAATATCATCAGAAGTTTTTTCATATGTTGCCGACTATATGAATGACACCATATAATGATATCATCAGAATCTTCCATTGATGTTGACGTCGTCTATTGAAAAAAATATATGCTCTCAAAATTGCCCGACTCGACCCGGTAAAATCATCAGCAAATTCAAATAATCCATTGATCTTAAGGTCTACCCTTCACGTACGTCACTGGGTACAATGGGCGGTGAGACAGTTCAATTTGCCCAATATCAAGTTGAGCGATTGGTGCAAAGATGGCAAACAATTGTATGAGCTGACCATACAAGATTTCCAAAAAATAGTACCCAGTGATCCGGGGGATGTGTTTTGGACGCATCTGGAACTGCTGAGAAAAATGAAAGTAGTTGGTAAGCTTGTGGAGGTTCTACTATCGAAAAATATTATAGATGATTGTGAATTTTAGCGACCAAAAAGGAAGACCCACCCAAGAAGATTGTACCTAAAGTGATGAAAATTAATAGGGTAGGTGATTTTGGAAATTTGTTTCAAGAACCTACCAAAATATTCCATGATAAGAACTTCTTCTTAGACTATTCCGAGCATGGTCTCTCTAATATCAGAATCGGCCATCATTCCTCGTTTTTAAGCGATAAAATTTTGGACGTTTAAAACGTCAATTATGTTGGAAGCCAGAATGATGGATGCAGTGTGCGCAACTCTCGTGAGCCGCTCATTTATTGTCTCAATCATGGAATACTGATAGGACTACAACTCATACTAATTTTCCCGGAAATAATTTAGCTCATGACATCGTTTCAAAACTTTTTGCCTACTGCTGGAGAGGCGAAATTATTAGGCAACAAGCTGTCGAAATAATCGCTGAATATTTCCGGCAAAATAGTAACACTTGAGGTATTACATATGAATATTATGTGCTGCCTGGGTTTTAGATTTAGGATAAATACACTTCTCCAAAAAATTAATGCACCACCAAAGAGTAACCTAAAAGTTTGGGAAACATTTTCGTCAAAATTAGTTGTCCGATTTGGACGTTTTTTTGTTACGTTCCTCTTGAAATCATGTCCCAAGAATGTCCTAAAAATAATTAATGGGATTCGAACACGGGTTCCAAGCTGGCCATGACATATGTTAGGGATACAGGGATACAGATACAGACTTCCTCTTGCATCACCAATATGTACCTTACAGCTGTAAGGATTCCCTTTATGATAACAAGTTCCATGTGACCAGTTAATATAGAATGTTTATTGCCAATTGACTTAAATAAAATCATGTTATGCTATAGAGTTGTGTTTCTGGAGAAATAGGAAAGATAATGGATTAAATCCAAAAAAGGAATGTTGAAAAAAGATAAGGCTGAAGTGTACTTTCAATTTCAACTTGATAACATAACTGTCACATTCCACAGGGTATAACAAATTTCATGAAAAAAACTCGTTATAATTGCTGCACCCGGTATTCATGAAAAAGAAGCTCTTATGCGAATACAATTTGCACGGCAATATTCACAAGAAGATAACCAATCATTCAATACAAAAATCGTCCGAATCGAACAAGTAGTTTCGTCGAAAATGTATCTCAAACTTTTGGAAACTTTTGAGAATTAATATTTTGATATACAGAATAAACAAATTCAAATTGATTTTTCCCAATGTGGATCTGTATATTCTCAATCTGGATGTTTTTATTCCTAATTCGAATTATTTAGTCCCAAATTGAAATTGATTATTCCTGGTGTGGATATAAGAAGGTATTTTGTTAAATTGAAAATTAGCATAGTGAGTAATCATTATTGATGATCATTATCATTGATTATCGAATTCTTTTAGATACCGGTGACCAAAAAAGACTTGAAAATACTGAATTATTCGACAGCAGTTCGATATTTTGACATTCCCAATACGGGTACAAGTGGTAATAAAACTGGCAATAATGGTCAAATACAGTTGTGGCAGTTCCTTCTAGAACTGCTCACATCAAAAGAGTACAAATCTATCATCCAGTGGATTGGTAAGTGAAAAAATTCATCAAATGAATTTTTCTCTTGGAAATATCCAATACTTATATGTATGGACAAACCTTTGATTTTTTTACTCATTTCTTTTGTTTTTATTGATGCAGTGGCCAAAAGTGCTTGATTTTTTTTAATGATATGAATATCTTTACCAATGTCCACACACTTCTGATGTTTATTTGAAATTGAAATGCGTGCACATTTTTTGGCGAATACTTTTACTATGAAACCAAAACTATCGGATACACCAAGGCAAAGGCAAAAATTGTGAAAAACTGTTTTATCAAAAAAAGAATGTCGGATTTTTGGTCTCGAAAAGTTTCACATGTCAAAAAACCATTTTACTCATTTTAGAACAATATTTTTGTCGTTTGTAGAAAAAATTTTGTTTGCTTTGTTTTTTAACGAGTCGCTCGCGCACTAGATACAAAATAGTATATTATACAACTAGAGCTATATAATAGCATTCTCACCCCGAGGTATATATAATATTTTTTCCACTAATAGCACTGAAAAATCAACATATTTTATCAATTCAGATTTTCATTTTCATTGAAGGAGCAATGCCATTCACCGTGTATATTCAGCATTGTTGAGCCGTTGTCGATCTAAATGAAAACCTAGTAGGCGACCTAGTACGCGAGGAGGTAGGAATAAAAAATTAATAACTTAGTTAACTTAGTTCACGTAGATGTCTCTGAAATACAGATTTCCTTCATTTTTCTTTTCTATAAACAGCCTTATAGCCTTTGCCTACTAACTATCTAAGTAGGTTGTCATCTAGAACGACAATGGTTCAGCACATTACTAAAATTTCGATATATCTAGTATTCGCGATAGAAAATAGGTGTACGCTATCTATCGAAGTTTTTGAAAGCTGTCAAAGCGGTCTGTTCACTTTGTTTTCATTGGTTCACATTTGCTTCTTTGTTTGTGCTTATTGGTTAACCATCAAAACAAACCGCTCAAACGTGTTCAAGTTATCGCCGTCAGATGGAGCGACGTGTTATTTTCTATCTCGAATATATAGGAGTTCAGTTGTAGAGCAAACTAAAAGGAAATTCGACTTGGGTCAGAAACCAAACGCTGTATTAAATTTCCAGGTGAAATTGTGAATAACTACAAAACTGTATGAGAATTTAAATGTCATTCATTTTGATAGGAAGCTTTTACCCCGCCTGCATGAAGTTAGGATGTATACTGATAAATATGACGAGAAGATATGTTTTCCTCCGATAAGCAGCAAATATTGATTTTGCTGACACATATCAATCAGCAAAATATTACTTTTCCTGCCTAGGCAGCAAAGTGGGTACTTTGCTGCCTAGGCAGCAAAGTGGTTACTTTGCTGATTGATATGTATCAGCAAAATTAAAAATCCATAAATCGTTTATAATTTCCTTCATATTTCATCCGAGACTTCCTTGGCAACAAATTCAACTCTATATTTTTTGCCACCTCCCTTATTAATGGAGGTGTAAGAATACTTCCAGGTCGCTATCACTGTCCATTATATAATAATTTAAATATACCGATTTTTTCCGCACAACTGTCAGAAATTTCATGAATTGTCAAACCAATAACTGCGATTTCTATCAAATTTTATTTTAATTGAACACTATACAGGAAGAATAAAGAGATTGTGGGAATTGTATTAATTCGCAAATACAGTATTCTCCCATATAATTATGAACAATCGGAGAAAAAATTATATGTTCAACTCGGCAGCAAAGTAGATTGACTGCCTAAGCTGTATTCCTAGCCTCGCTACGCTCGGCTATGAATTCAGCCACGGCAGTCAATCTACTACTTTGCTGCCTAGTTAAACAAATAACTATTTGAAATATTTGAGCCTTATGAATATCGCACATGATACCATTGAACAATCATTGAAGTGGTACAGGCATCTTAATCATATCGTCTAATTCACACATGACAGTGACAGCGCACAGAATTAATGATAATAAGATTAGTAGTTTCAACTATATTTGGTTTAAAGAATGTATCATTTTCGTTGGTTGCATACGCATCAGTATCTGTGAGTTTATTGCATAATAGCATTGACACTATTGACAGTTTGTGTGAAAGCATTAAAGAGTCTAGCAATGTGATTGTCCAATATTTGTAATTTTTGACTGTCATCTGTGTAAATTTTTGTACTGTGATGTCATTTGTAGCTGTGATTTTCGATTAAAATTTAATATTTTGATACTTGTGCTAGATTCAAGGTATTTTTGTAGTGTCTTACATTTTGATTACTCTGCAGTGTTTTGTGAGACTTTAAATAAATGAATAAATAAATAAAAATGAATAAAGTATTCATAGACTAACCTATAGACGATATTTCTCCCAGCTTATTTGAAAATTTCTAATGGCCCAATGTGAATAAAAAAACATTAATTCTCCATCTAGAATTCTCCGAATAATTTCCGATTTTCTCAGGCAAAGAGGGCGAATTCAAATTGAATCATCCCGAAGTGGTGGCCCATCTATGGGGTGAACGCAAAAACAAACCGATGATGAACTACGAGAAACTGTCGAGGGCTTTACGGTACTATTACGACGGCGACATGATTTCCAAAGTGCACGGCAAAAGGTTCGTCTACAAATTCGTGTGCGATTTGAAACAACTTTTGGGATACAGTGCGGTCGAATTGTCGAATTTGGTTCGGACCGGCAATCCCAACGGCAGTCCGGCTGATTTTTATGGGCACTAGTCTTTTTTTTTTTCGGTTGATTGTTGACAGGAAAGTAGTTTTATGCACGACCGGGCGTAAAGTAGCACTTCACTGCCCAGTTTTGCGGGCGTAAAGTGGCATTTTAGCGCCCGCAAACAACTTCATTGCCCGACGGGGTACGTATGTCATACATTAGAAGTTTTCCAACTCGCAGTTGCTAATTGTTATGCTGTTATAATCGATTATTCCCAATCTACCTAAAATATTTTAGTCCTCCAGCTATATAGGGTGTGTCAGAAGTCGGCGCCAAGTTTCTCATTTCGAATAGAAATCTACCTTTTTTTTTACTTGATTCGATTGGCCTTCTAATTCTGAGTATAGACATGGATATTATTTACGTAAACAGTTAGAAAACGCGTTATTTTGCGAAACGATTTTGTGGACTGACTCAAGTTTCGAATCGTCCTCTACGCCACGTTACGAATTGTGTAAAATAAAATATTACATAACTCGTGATGAAATGTTGATTTCAACATCAGTTACGTAATAAACATATGGATTAACGAAAAGATTAATGCATTTTGTGCAGCTTCCTAGATATCACTTGGGGAAATTTGAACTCAAAATCAGCCAATTTCCACTAATGAAGATATAAGCGAGTCTATTTCGTGAAGATCGTCACTGATGTGACTGTAACCATATTTTTGTTTGACGGATACTTCAAAATGACGTGCGAAGCCAGCTTGACTATTGAATTTTGTACATAATCTGCAGAACTCTGTGATTTGCAGCATACTGGATACGTAAATATCAATTTTCTAATGTTGATGAAAAGTTTCAATCACAGATAACTAAAATGCGCTGACAAGTCACTAAATTTCCAAAAATGAATTGAAACCAGTGAAGGGTATTCGAACATTCCACATCAAGCAGATTTTTATGGTTAACAATGTTTATACTCACACATACATTCATAACCTATGTAGGTACAAAGCCCAGAAGAATTTTTATACTATATGTGATGTATTGATGATGACATACACTTAACAATTCACTGTTCACTATTCTATAGTATTGTCGCTTTTATGACGTGCTACAAACATGCATTGTAATGTAGTCAAATAAATATACTCTACTCTACTCTACTCATCTAGAATTACATTTGTTCTGGTAGAGGATATCTCGTTTTGGCTTCAAGAGCTCATAACTTCAATTTTAACGGGACTTGGACCTGATGACATTTCTTGTTCAGCATGATTTAATCTATCCTATCTCAACATTTCACCATAGACTAAATTTCAATGTAAATGGTGCGAGGTCCTTTGGTGCTATAATTTTGAACGGTTCGTGAGATAAAAATATGTTGGTATACTGCTACGACGGTAATTATTCCCAAAAAAATCGACATATCTCGAAAACTGTGATAGATATGTTTGCAGTTACAGCTTGACCATTCTAGCTTCGATGCGTAAACGATAAACAGAGATGTTTAGTGTGCGACAAAGATCCACTAGGCCTTTTCATTAGAAAGTACAATCGTACTGTTTTGATCGATTTTCACTGAACCAGTTCCTCGAAGATGATGAGCTCTCGCCCCACTCCGCCGACTGGTCTACTGCGCATCCAATTTTCAGAGACCAAGCTAGAATGGTCAAGCTGTATTTGAAATTAGTTTGTTTCTCGTCGGAATGAAACATTTTCCCGTGGTAACAAGTAGCCTATGTTCATCAGGGATAATGTTGGCTGCTAATGGTAAAAGAATTTTTCAACTCGGTCCAGTAGTTTTGGAGCCTTCTCAATGCAAACAAATCTTTCCTCTTTATATTAGTATAGATGAGAAAGTTGGTTCGCATTACCTGTATAGCCGGAGGAATAATTTTTAGATTTTTTACTCCAACTGGGAGTTGAAAAACTTCTAATGTGGTGCCTACGTAGATCCCGTTGTATATAAGTTATTTCCATAAGGAAAATAAAAAAAAACAGGAAGTCAGTTGACCACACTTTTTGTGAAAATTAAAACGTTGAAACAGTTACTGGTTTCGGCAATATATGGTTTGGTCTATTGTTCACAAAATATATCAAGTGTATCAAAAAAATTGAAGTTTCATATTTTTTTAAACTGATTTTTATATAAAAAATTTGCCGGAGTGAATTATATTGTGATAGATAGAAATATGGATATTTGAATACTTTTGTAAATAAAATAGTGGAATAAAGTGCTATAACCATTTGGGCTTTCTTGTATTGAAATGTTCCTAAAGAAGATCCCATATCTCAGGGCCCGTTGAATCACCTCGAAATACCTTATTGTTATTTTATCACTAGGATTGAAAGTGACACTTCAAATACTATTGAAACAATTTTTTTGCAACTTAGAACTTGTTCCAATTTGATCAAATAATGATACTTCTACTACTGACTATGACCAAAGGTGGTGTTGCGATTCAAGATTCTAGAATTGAAAGTACTTTTTCTCCTTGGAGTTGAAGTGAAGCTTTAATGTCAGCATTTGTATTTTTCTCATCATCCCTCATTAACTATCAATCCATTTAAAGAACGATATTTAACGTTGCTTGAGTGAAATTTTCAAATTGATTTCAATATAGGTTTATATTTTTCTCTTAGGACCTACGTTAAGTTAAAAATCATTTCTAAAGTTATTACACCGAAGGGTTTGAATCAAAGAAAACCATTTCGTTTTCATTGAAGGATCTTGGCTTGAAGAATATATCCGATAACAATAGATTTTCACTATCATTACTTTTAAATGTCTTGGGAATGCCACCAGTCAATTTTAGTGATTGTTGGGATGTGTCATCCTTTGTCTCACTTTTTTCCTGGACTTCCTTCTCAGTTTCAGCGATGCCTTCATTTTTTATTTGCTTTTGATAGTCCTCATTTTGTTTTTGCAAAGTGGAGTGACTTAGTTTCAGTAGATTCATCTCAGCTTCTAGGTTTTTGATCTTGTGGCCTAGTTTTTTGTTTTCTTTTTTCAGGGCCTCGATTCCTTGCATGTAGTACTCTTTTTGCAGCGTACATTTTTTCTCGCTTTCTTTCAAATCGGTTTCTTTTTGGTTGATTTCGATGTTGAGTTCGTCTAGGTTTTTCTCGATTTTGGCTTTATTCACTTCCACAGTTCTTTTCAGGTTGTCGTGTTCGATTTTTAAGTCACTTGCTTCTGTTTTTAACGATAGATTTTCCTTTTGTAATTTTGCTATCTGGCTTTTCGCTTTTTGCAGTTCAATCAGTAGGTCCGTCGCTTTTTGTTCCCATTCGCTGAGTTTGTTGATTTTCTTCATGCTTTGGGAAAAATTCCTGATTTTCGCGTCTTGCGGTGGGTTGTCTTTGTCTTTGGTTGAATTTCCGATGATGATAGGAAAAGACATTACTGAAATTTTGACAACTGAACTGAAATTCCAATTTTAATTTTGAGTTAGGGTGTAACCATAGTGAAACATGTTAGGTTTATTCTGGTACTCTAATTATGGTAACTTTCCTTATAGTCCAAGAGACGGCTGCAAATTTCGCCCGTAATCTGATTACGAACTGAAAATATACAGGGTGTCCCAAAATTGCTACCACGTGTCATATTTTTTTATTTCTTTATTTTTTATTATTTTCAATTGCATTTCCTCGTTGGACCCAGCACTGGATCCAATGCATGGCCTAACTGGGATTCGAACCCATGCCTCGGTGGGAGTCCCCATACGAACTCAGCGCCTTCGCTCTCTCGACCACCGGGCCGCCAAAATTTAGGTGATTTTGAGCTCAGGATTTTATTGCTGAAATATTTCCAATTACTAATGAAACACCCTGTATATTTCATGTATGTTTGTGTTCTAGAGACGTATTGTGAATGATTGCTTCCAAAGAAGATTCAAAAACATATTTGTTTGAGTAATTTTTATTCAATCAAATTGAAGCAAATTTTGTTTTGAAACGACTCAGTCACACTAAGTTTTCAATATATTTTTTGTCTTTTATTTTCAAAGCGAGAAAAGCTGTCCTGATCGAAATCTGTCTTTGACTGTTTCTTATTCTGATGTACGGGGCGTTTTTTCTGTTTATGTTCATAAGGATATCTAGGGCAGTCAATAAACTTCCGCTTCGCATGAATTTTGGCCTTGTTGTCTGTTGATAAGTTGAGTCTCGCTTGTTTCTGCATGACGTTGAATTTGAATTTGGGATAAATCAACATGGATGCAGTTTTGTTGAATGTTACTTCTCTGATGAGTGGAGATTTTGGTGCTGCTTTAGTTTCACTTGACCTTTTCAAAATCGATTTTTTAATGTTCAACATTTCTGAGCTTAGATTAGACACCGATTTGATCCTGTTGAATTTAGAATGTAGTTTCAAGCTGTCTATATTGTAATTTTGCCAAGGATACATTGAAACATTTGCTCTTGGTTCATTTGTGGGTGTAGGTAGTGCCGGTAGTGGGTATTCTTCTAATTTTTCTTGAATGCTGGTGTCTAGCTGGGTTTTCTTTCTGGTTATGTTTACACAGCTGGTGCTTTTTCCGAATTTAGCATTTGACCATGTCAGCTTTAGGCTTTCTTTTGAAGAACTCGATTCTAGTATGGGCGGTTTTCCATGTTGGATATCTTCAGGTTTTTCATCAACTTTCACTGTGTTTTCTGATGATGTTTCTTGGTGTCCCACTGCGGGTGCACTTTGGTTCCTTTTGATGGAATTTTTCGACTCTTGAAGAGCTTCGCAAGATTTTTTGTAGTTGCGGAAGATGTTGAAAATGAATTTGATGGGTTCGCGATTCCTAATGTAATTTATGTATGAGTTGTTCATGATGATTATGACTATAGAATTTTTCATAGACCCGAAAATAGCGAAGACGTTTAACAGGACTTTGACACTACCCTTCAAAATAAAGAGGAATTTGCAATTGTCTTTCCACATACTGGATGATCAGGTGTCTGAATCGATTCATTTCGGATTTTTATAGTGATTTGTTTTGAAATTTTTAATTCTTCCCAAGAAGCATTATTCTATAAAGGTTATTAGAATTAGTATACAGCAAATCTTATATGGAACTAATAAAATCATATATTCAGTGTGACCCACTCAATAAAATTTCTATTAAATCACCGATTTATAAGATTTTTTGTCATTTTGAAGCTTTTTTAACAAACTCCAAGGCCTGCTGCATACATTTTTAGTGGGCAAATTTCAAAAAATCATATTACCTCCTCAAATGGTGGTTGTGAACGTTGTGAAGCAAATTTCGTACAAAAATATTCGATAACAAAAATTTGGTGGCCAAATCAAAATCCACATTGTGTTAATAAAATGGTTCAATCATAATTATAGAAATCAGTAAATTGGTCGGTATAGACTTATCATCAAATGGCCGCCAAAATTCCCGGACCTAACACCACTGGAGTTTTTCGGTAGGTTTATTATAAAGCAAATTAAAATCCAGACCGCAGTCAGTAAAAGAACTACAGTCTGTATAATTATCAATATCGAATATATTTGTATGAAATTTGGTATACAACCATTTGAGGGGTTCCTGATTTCAATGGTGATTTGAAATTTTTCGTATAAAAATCGCTTATATGATTTCTTGAACTTTAACCTCTTGAAATATACGCGGTAGGCCTTGGTTTTTGAAGAAAAAAGTTTCATCCTAAAGTACAGTTGTTCAAGCTCCACAGTTCAAAAATATTTAATCGAAATTGGTGAATTATTACAAATTTTATTTGTAGTTGTACCACCTTCAAGTTGGCCACACTGTATACAATATGTTAGCAATCATGATTTTCTATATTTCGATATCAAAAGATTTATATAAGGAAATCAAACATGGGAATTATATATATTTCAGTACTTATGAAAGTGATTATGAAATAATCCTATATTTCGTATTATACTATGCTTCTGATCTATCCAGGACACTACATTAATCAGTTCTTTAATGTCCATATCGGTATTATAAGATACCTGAGTATATTGTGTAATGTTTTCACTGATGTTTATACAATATAGTTTTCTTATTGACAAAAAATTAACTCGCAGTCAGTACATCCTTTCGTCATCTTACTCAAAATATTTCGAACGATTCTTTACCAAAACTCGTTCGTCTATAGAACGGCAAAGCATTGAAATTCTTTGCCAAAGGAAGTATTCCCAAGAACTTATAAGCTCTAAAAGTGAGAAGAAAATTCCAATACCTACCGTATCTTCCTATCCTTAGAGGGTACGCACGATGTTCTTCGATCATAGTAGGAATTCCTTTTCGTTCCCTCCAATAAGAGATATACATATACAACACTATTCAAATATGTTTATAAATGACATTAATTGTATACCTACATGTGTTTTATCACATAGCGAGAAAACGATACAATGTTGTTCTATAATGTGAGTTGTGAGGATGGTGAAGATCTATTTTCAAAATGAAATTGTTTTCCAGTAAAAAGAATTTGAATGGAACACCATCGAAAGATGAAGGTAATTATTTCAATTATTTTCGGTTTTGAAGAGTATTGATTTCTCTAATATGACCCAAACTTATAATATAAGTACACCCTGTATCCAAAATTTTGAATTATGTCAAAATAGAAACAATCACTGTCAGATTTGTCAAGTCCACATATCATGAACCATATACCTCAAAATTAAAGTAAAAATATCACAATGTATAAGATACTTTCAAGAAGCCTGTCGAGGTCAGAAAAATCCCTGGCAAATTTCACCAACATCTACAGAAGGGTAGCTAAAAATCAGTTGTTTCACCATCGCTCCACCACATCCCAAACCAAAAATCCACACATGGAAAATGGAGAAAGCAATTCCTCAGAGATCAAAGAAAAACACACCCCAAGAGTCAAGAGCTCCCCATCACTTTACACCAAAAAGGGTTCAAATTTCCTGAGACGCTCATTGGTTCCGGAAACCAAAGAAACTATCCACATCATGATGTTTTCCACCTCCTCATCCAAATACTTCTACGCATCAACACTTAATCAAGCCAAAGAGTCAGCAACTTCGAAGAAGAAATACTTCAAGAACCACAAGGCACTTGATCTCTACAAGCAAGCTCTGGAACAGTGCATGAAGATCAAATTCGAGAAGCACAGAATCCAGAAAGGAACAAGCAATGTCACGTGGAAACCTGAACCAATTAGAACTAATCTACTGAGCGATTTGAGCGCTCCTGCTAAGACCAAGAAAAAAGAGGCACTACCACCTCTAGAAAGCACCAAAAAGATTGTGAGACTCCACCCGAAGAAGTCGATATCAGTAGAAGAGATGAAGCAGCTGGTAAGGCAGAAGAAAGCTTCTCAGGTTGTGAAAAATAAAAAGTTCCATATAGTTTACCCCACGCATATGATCAAGTATAAGCTTGGTTTGCAGAAGCCTTACCAAGTTGAAAAATCCATGGCCAAAAATCAGGATCCACTCGTGAGCAAACCAAAGCCAGAACGTGAAAGGTTAGAGCCTGCTCCTAAACGAGAGATCAACACTGTGGAAGTCGTGCCTCTCAAAAAACGCCCAAAAAATAACCTGGAAGCTGTCATGGAAGCTAGCCGGAAGAGGAGAGAAAAAAACGATAGAAGCAGCATCGTTGTCGAGGTAGATGAAGCAATCAAGCAGCTCATCAGCAAGCACCCTGCGATGAAGAAAGTCACAGAGAGCGCCAAAATGTCGATCAATAAAAAGTACAACATTATTTTGTTGAAAAGTCAAGCTAAGCTAAGGTTGCAGATGAAACCTAGAGAAGTTATTACAGGTAAATATTAGGTCTGTTCGTTTGGTGTTGCAATATAGGCTTAGAGCACGTTAGCAGAAATGCGTAGGTATGCTCATTTGTGTCCAGCATTGAATAGGTAATGAATATTATGTTTCAAAAATGATTGCCAAGTATGTATATGAAATCATGTATTATTATTCTTTCAGAGGGTGTCTAGTCTAGTGGGTATGGCAGAAAAATCCCATCAAAAAAATTTATCGACTTTTGATGTCTGTGCATCCCATGTCATTTTCTAAATTCTCAGAATTGATTATCAACCCCAAAAATATTTGAGGTTGAGTCAAAAGTGTTGATTTGTAGCCAATGCACTTTGCTAATTTTTTCTGCCCAAATATGCTACAATTGCTTTGAGACGACATCTGATTTGATCGGCTTGCCAAGGACACAAATCAACATTCCTATGGTATCAACCTGCTTTGAAATTGTATTCAGAGGTCTTTCAGTGATGGTAAGAGCTAATATCAATTTAATTTCCACAGAGACATCTGAAAACTTGGAGTTGGACAGGATCCCAACAGATCAAAACGAAGTGTTGAATCATTCTGAACCAGAGGTAACAAGAAAGAGCGACATTCAAAAGAAGCTAGATGCGGATACAAGCATAGTACAGCATCCTATACCTACGAATTTGGATCAAGCTGACTTCGAGGTAGTCATCAAATGCCCAAAACGTCTGCTGTCTGAGAAGAGTGAGACTTTTGATATAGAGGAAATCTGTCTGAAAACGAAAGAAAACTATATCGTGTACACTGAAGAAGTAGCTGATGCAATGAAGAAGATGAGCCAAGATAAAGAAGAACTTAAGACAGTGAAAGAGGAAGTACTAGACCGAATAGCTGCTAATAAAGAAGACTATTCACCACAAAGAACGAAATCTCCAAACCCGCAAAAGTTGAAGGATATCATGATGAAAAATGCGAAACAAGAACAATCATCGAACCAAATTGACCAACAGAAACCAACAATTCATCAAAACTCTGGAAATTCAGCGCAAAACCTCATGAATTACATCAAGAAGCTCAATGAACTAAAGGATCAAACGTCAATGGAAAGATCCAGTATACAGAAACCATTTGCGAAAACTCCTAGTATGGTACAAAAAGTTGAAATGAATAAGGTCAAGAATAGTGGAGTCCAGAAAGAGATTATAGAACAAGAGCAAGTTGAAAACAAGGAAACATTAACAAACAAAGAAAATGTAATTGACGATCAAAGCAACAAGAAACCTATGTACGGAAAATTGCTGGAACAAAGCAAGACACAGAAACCTGTTGGCCAAAAGTTCAAGTTTATTCCAATACCTAACAAACCGAAAAAGGATAAAGAAGATGATGGAAAAACTGTTTTGTCGAGAACCAATACTACGAGATCACCACAAAGTGCTAAGACTGTTAACAAAGAAACCTCATCAAAATATTTGCTAGAAAACTACAAACCTCAACCGATTACTGATGATCAATCGAAGGAACCACTAGTACAGAAAACCGAAGCTGAAGTAGTAAGGAAAAAGGCCCATTTCCAAAATATCATGAACCAGTACATAGTCAAATCTACTTCCACAAATCATGAAGTTGAAGAAAATCCAGAGTCCAAAAGTAGAACTGCTGAGCAAGAGGTCCTCAAACCAGTTGGAAATATTATTGAGAAAATATCAAGAGAAGAACGCAGACTATATAATAAAAACAAACTAACTTCAAATTCCGAGGATCGTAAGAGAAAAGCTGAACAAGAAACTTTCAAACCAGTTGAAAAAATTTCAAGAGAAGACGACAATAATAAAGTAGAGTCAATCTCTGAAGGTGCAATAAAAGAAACTGAACCCAAAAGTCTTGAACCAGTTGAAAAAACATCAAGGGAAGAAACCACTCCTTATAAAGACAAACTCAAAAATCTGTTGGAGCCAGCTAATCAGTATTTAGAAAAATTACGTGAAGCAGGGGAAAATCAAATGAAAACCTTGGGAGCACTAAAGGACCAGTTCAAGAATCAACTAACTGAGAATATAAATAAAGGACTGAAGAAGAAGAAGAATATGCTCGAAAACATGCCACTGATCCAGGAAAACGTATCCGAGGATACCAGAGAACTACCAACAAAAACATTCATAGTGGAAAACTTGGATACTAAAAAACTCAAAGTTCCTTCAATGGGGAAAGATTCTTTCCTGTTACTGGTGAAAGAACCTACTCAAGAAGAAGAAGACTACGACGTGATACAGATCGAATTGCGAAAAAAATTGAAAACCAAAAAAGACACAGACAGCAGTTTGAAAGATCCATCCGAACCTATAAGTGAAAATCCAAAAAACATTGAAAGCGACAAACGAAACACTCTTCCCAATAACAGACCTACAATTAGACAAGATAGGCCACCTCAGATACCACCAACGAAGAACAAAAACGACAAAAAAGAAAAGCCCACAAGAAGAGGAAATATCATCTTACCTCCCTCCAAACCCAATGAACGGCCTAGGATGTCTAAAAATGTCAACAACCGCTTGGATAGAGAAGAAATTTCTATGAAGAAAGCAGAAGAAAATAGGCTCGTAGGGTACGAAGGTAACCTTGAAAACTCAGGAGGATCAGGAGAAAAGTTCGACAATCTGAAACAAACAAACTTGGCAAAATGTGCTGGAGAATTGGAGAATCTGGAAAATATTGTATTCAAACATGAACCGAGAAGAAAAGCTGCTCTAGATGCAGACTTTATTCCTGAAAAGTTTCCTAACCAACAACTTTTCAAAAACTGGCTCACCATCTTGAGTGATATAGAGGAACTGGAAATCGAATACAAAGATGGATCGGATCCCAAACTGATACAACTCGCTAAAGAGATGGATATCATCGAGCAAAACTTGAACACTGAGAAAAATTCTCTGCTAACTAAAAAATCACAACTTGAACCTAACCTTGATGAACATTTCAACGCAATAGAAGAAGAATCCGTTTTAGAAATTGAAAATGCAGATCAGGATATGAAAATGCATCCAAATTGGCTTCATCCTGAAAAATGTGACGCTAAGAAAAAGCTGGAATTTGCTCAAGGAAATGAGCTCATTAAAACTGAAAAACATTTGCAGGACATTGAAAAATCGAAAGCTCAGAGACCAGTACCTGAACAATTTCTACCAATGAATGTTGTGGACAGGGTCACAAAAACTGAGAAAGTCGATCTTGGTACAGAAAAGAACGTTAAAATGGATTCCAGACCACTAAAAATGATGGATTATGAGTACAGTTCTAAAAACCTGAAGGTCGATGAAAAAAAATCGAAAATCAATCATGAAGCAGAAATTTTTCATCCAAAAGCAATAAGAAAGGTGAAACCTAAAGAAGATGTCGCATTGCCATCAGCTACAAAACAGGTAGAAGATTCAAAAACGAAACTGTCACAAAAGAAATTATGGAAAGATAGTGAATCAATAGAAAAAGCAAAATTCAATGAGTCCATACAATCAAATACTATCAAGAATTCTGTGCAAGTTTCAAATCCTTCTTCTTTGACATATTCTGGGCCTAAATTGTCAATGAAGAAAGAATGGAAACAAAAAACGGAACAAAAATCGACCTCGAATATATTGAAGAAATCTGAGCAATGGAAACCAACTAATATCCAAAAAACTGACTCCAATGCTTCAAAAAAAGTTGAAAAATCTGACAATTTTGTTGTTATTCTTCCACATCAAAATAAAGCCAAAGTTATGGAAGCAGTTGGAGTTACCAAAGAAAAACATAAAGCAAAATCTGAAACTGGGCTGTTGAGAATGTATCTATTGGAAGAAAACGAGTGTTACGATGAATTTATATCAAAAATCGAGAAAAAAACGAATCCTTCTCCAGTGAAATCTATCTCAAATGACGTAGAAATGAACAAGTCATCTCTCAAACCGGTTTGGAATGAAAACTTCAAGCCCAAACCTGTTCTGGATTTATCAAGAAAGAAGCTTTCCACAAACCTAAAATCTACGGAGAATATTTCCGGAAATAATGAGAAAATCAGGAAGCCTGTTGAGAAACCAAAATTCAGAAGGCGAAGTATTTCTGATGTGACGAAGAGTATAACGAAAGCGACAAATGAAGGAAAACTGATGAAAATGTATTTATTGGACGAAAGCTTAAGTAACGAAAAGTTGCTGAGAATTCAAGGCAAAGAAAAATCGAAGTATCCACAAAAATCTAGCAAGGATCAAGAAAATTCAGTTCGGAAAAATATATTGAAAGATGATTCGAAAAAGATAGACACTTCCAAGAAATCTAATGAGGCTATTCAAAAAACAAAGAATACGAAATCGCTTGAAGAACTCAATAAACTCAACTTTCCATCTTATTGTTTCTCAGATTATTTGAAAGCAAAGAAAAAACGAGAAAATAAAATCAAGTCGGAAACAAATAAAAATACATCTCGAGAGAAAAATCCCGAAAAGCACAAATCCATGGTAGAAGTCAGTCCTCTAGAGTCTCTAAACGTATCAAATAAAAAGAATCATACAGATCTGCCTAATAGCTCAAAATCTACTGAGAAATTAAAACTTGAAAAAGCACCGAAACAAGAAGAAAAAGATAACATTTCACAAGTGAAGGATGTAAATAAAGAACTTGCGAAGAAAAAGTCAGACAAAGAAACAACAGGTGATATTAAGTCTTCAAAACATGCTGAAAATGAAAACAAAATGAAAAAGCAAGTGGGTTCAAGGGAAAGCAATTCCCAAATTCTGACGAGAGACAACAAATTAGTATGTTCAAACCTTATCTCCAACTATGTCAGTGATAATAAGTCACCAAACTCACCTACGAAAACGAATACAGAACTTGAAAACGAAAAAAATAAGAAATTGCCAGGACCCAAAAGTGATGAAACCACGGAACAACCAAAAATAGCTGTCCCTAAACCTATAGAAAAATCAGACAACCAACTGAAGGCCAATTCAATAAAGAAAACAAGTATCCAAGAGAAGAATCACAGCGATGTTGAACCCAAAAAATCTACTTCCATCGTAGCAAACCCAAGACAAAAATCCTCACCAATACTTTCAAAGCCAATCCCACCTGAAGATCTAGCTGAAGATAACAAAACAAAATCCACCGAGGTTGCCAAAGAAAAGCCTGAGGATAAACCTACTATACCAGGTAAGAAACAAAAAGTAATTATAAGATTAAGTAGATACCAAAATTCATTCAAACCTACCAAACCTATTTCTAAAAAGAAAGACACTGTACCAAACACAGAACCCATAGAAGCAACCCCAGCAGATACCAATGAAACAAACGAATCTACCAAGCATCTCGCAAAAATAAAAGAAATACTTTCGAATGAACCAAAGACTCTGCTGGATTACATCATCGATGACCAATTGAAGAAAAAGAGAGTTAAACCAGAACACATAGTCAAAGAAGCAAAGATTTTGAAACAAAAATACCACAACGAGAGATTACAAAGAATCATGGACAAATATAGGGCTGATACAGAAAAATTTGAGGATCCTTATCATCATCAAGTAGACCCAGCCGAAGCTGAAATATTGCGCCAAAAGAAATACAAAGAAAATGCATTGAAAGCGTTCAAGAAAAAAATTGACAATATTTGCTATACAGTGACTGGTGGCGACAAAATCTCGGAAATACAGCCTTCTGAAAAAGATCTAAAAAATGAGACAATTCCTATCAAACAACGAATAGGAACTACTATTTCTAATGAAAATAAAATAGCCGACAAAAAAACAACAGCCAACTTTCAGTTGTTAACGATAAGCGAAGCAACCAAATTGAAATTCATTGCTAGGGCAAAATCCTCAAAATATCTACTAGAAAATCAAGTCAAAAATATCAGGATAATGAAAGAAATAAGAGGCAAGCACAAAAACGAGAGTACATTGATGGAGAAGAGAAAAAAGAATATGTTTGATGTTAAATTCAAGATACCACAAAAAGGGCACAAGAAACCAGTATTAAATAAAAATGTACACAAAACGGGAGGAAGTTCTAACAAATATTTGTTAGATAACCAATTGCCCATAGAGTTTTTGATATCTTTGAAAAAAACGCCCCCAACTGAACCAAATAAACGAAAATACAAACCTTCGACGTCGAAATATCTGTTGGAAAACAGCTCACTAGTTTTCGGAGGAAAAATGAAAAACGATGTAAAGAAAACCACTGAAGGCACCAAGAAACTTCACAGTGATGCTTCAGCAGAAAGAAAACATACAATCAGAGCCAGGATAAGTGAAATTCTCCCCTCACTAAGAACTATAAAAAAGCAAAAGCAATTCGGTACAATGATAATAGAGACAGACTTATCGAGCATATTTCCCAATGAGCCTAAGTGGATAAAAAATAGAGATAGGCAAGACATTGCTGAGATCAGAGAAATTTTCCATCGTAGAGATAAGCTACTGAAATTCAATAAAAAACTAGCAGAACACTCCAACACAAAATCTCCCACAGATCAATCTAAATCCGTTGATTCAAACCTAAACAAATTTTTGGTTACAGATCCGGAGAAGCAAAAGCGGTACAAGAAATTGTTCGCCGATTTCGAGAAGCTGGAACGACAAATAGAAACACAGAACCAGCGTCCAAAGACCGTCTTAGGAACGATAGTTTTGAGAAAGATCGTTGAGGAAAATGAAAAACCAATCGCCAAACTGACGATGGAAAAAGACTTGCCGAAACATCCTCAGCAAAAGAAAATGGTCACAAAGGCTAACGCCGTCAAAAAATGCTGCGATAAACTGTGTGTACCACCTAAATCTATATCTCAGGTATTTTATTCACAACCTAGAGACGATATCACCACTCTAACGAAAAGCCTCAGCGACAAAATTTTATCAGTGCCAAAACCAGCTTTCAAGTTTGACAACTATGAAAAATACAAGAATCTGAAAATATCCTTCATAACTGTGAGGAAACCAGAGAAAAAAAACAAAAGCGAGAATTTCTTGCCAGCACTTCTATCGATAGTAGAGGAAAGCAAGAAAAAAAGAGAAAATGAAAAACACTTGGAGAGCAACAAGGCTAAGATGATGGCATTCAGACATGAGTTTTTGAAAAAGTTGAAAGAAGAGTTCGATTTCTTGAGCGAAAATCAAAACCCAAGCAACTTTCAAAAGGTCTGCAAACACTATGAAAAAGTGCTAAAAGCTAGCACTGAAACCAATGACAACAAATCAGTCTTGAAACTCCCGATGATACAGGAAAAACAGAAGGAAAAGGATGGCGAGAACAAAGTTTCTTTGGGCAATATGAGTTTGAATCCTGACCATGTACCCAAAAATTCTACGGAATTGTTAATAAAGAAGTTAACTGCTGAAGAATCTAACGACAACGAAGTTAAAAAGGCTGAAAACCCTGAGAAGCCAAAAACTGATCCGAAGAAGAAATGAGTTTGAAGTGATGGAAAACAACAAAGTACTGCACTTCTTTGGGACTGAAAAGGTACTGATTTTCTGCTAAAGGAAACGATAGCAGAGCATGAGCATTAGCAAAAATAATCAAATTTTACGTAAAAACATGATGATGGTGCTGTTTCGGTCCATCAGGTGTCATCAGTCTCTCTCGTTAAGAGACTGAGTGCAAGAAACTTTCAATTGCGGCTTTATACAGGGTTACTGCTAATTCGATATATTCCTTTGGTGTGAATTTATCCCTAATATGGATTATGCAAAAGTTTATAGTTTTTGAGATATTCAATTTTTTCTGTTTATCTCTAAAAGGTAGATTTCCAGGGTTGGAAAGTTAGTTTTCCGAAAATCTGCTGTACATTTTCTGAACCTTTCAACTAGAATACATGATCAACACTATGCTCTTATACACTCACCGGCAAAATAAACCGGCCACCAGAAAATTTGCCCAAATTGTTCACACTATAACTTTAAATCCTAGCCGGATTCATGAGAAATTTAGATCAAATCGTAGATTCATGTTCCGAAATGTTAGCCTGAATATTAGTTTTCCTGAAAAGCTGATGACTTGATCATTATACAGGGAGAAACCAAAGTTACTCTTTCACCCTATCCTTCTCAACGCCCTGTGGCATAATTGCGTGATTGAACATGGCTTCATTATGCTTCGGATTGAAGTGTGATCCCTTCTTAACACGAAAGTTTTCGATTCACATCAATATCATATTTTTCGAAGAAAATACGAGTGTTTTGAGGAAGTATGGTGTTTTTCAACTCTTTTACCAATAATAAGATCTTGCATGAACTTATTGATCAACAACTCCAAGGATCAATAGCACATATTTTTACCATACTTTCTTATCACTAACCGGAAAATCAATTACAAAAAACAAACAAGAAGTAGGCCTGTAGTCAATAACGAGTATACTCTCCTCGATATTGAATTACAGCATTCAACCGTAGTGGCATCGAATTAATTAAATTACTCAAGTAGCCTTGAAGAATTGCCCAAAATCCTCCTTGAATAGCGAATCATAGCTCTTGAAGAGTATCTGACAAGGCTGGGCGAAGGCGAATGAACCTCTAGAGGTCACCCCTAAGATAGGTAGATAGGTTCTGAATTATTGTTATTGAACATCAAAAAATCTTCACTTTTTTTATTGACATTATTCAAGAACCGTTGTATGAAGAAGGAACAAAAGAGGATCTCACTTAAATTCAAAACATGCTGAAGCAGAAGGTTGGAGAATGGTTCTGAATTATTGTAAATAAAAACTTTGAATATCCATACTCTCTTGAAACACTTGTATCTTCCTTTAAAAAGTGGTTATTGACGTGAATAAAAAAACCATCATGTACAGAAGAGATCACTCTTCAATCTAAAACATAATGGAGCTAAGTTAAACCACTCACCTTTCCCACAGGGCGTTTAGAAGTTAAGGGTGAAAAAGTAACTTTCGTTTTTCCCTGTATATCAATGAGTATGACAAAATTGATTTCAATAGGATTAATGTTAATATCAATGAACAAAATATTAAAATAAATAAAACAGTAAAATATCTAGGGTTTCAACTGGACTGTAATCTTACATATGAAAACCATTTCCAATATATACACACAAAAATTTCAAAGAAACTATACTTTTTCTCTAGAATTTCAAGGCACCTATCATTAAATACCAAGATATTAGTTTATAAAACAATCATACAACCACACTTTGATTATTGCTCTTCAATTTTGTATTCCTTAAACCTGAACAAACAGTCTCAACTACAAAAACTACAAAATAGAGGAATGAGAATTATATTGAAAGTGAACCGATATACCTCTATAACCACGATGTTATCAACCTTGCACTGGCTTTCGGTATCTCAAAGACTATTATACCAGACAATGATATTCGTACATAAAATTGTTAATGATCTAGCAGCAACATATCTTAAACAATCTATAAGTTTCAACAGTGATATACATCAACACAACACTCGAAACAAGACTAACATACATATATACAGAACTAGTAACAAAAGCAGCATGAACTCAGTCTTCTTCAAGGGTTTTGATGCATACAATAAATTACCGTGCTCAATAAAATCTGCTTCATCCCTAAAAGTTTTCAAATCTAAGTTATTGCAATATATTTTTCAACAAGTGTAACTGAACTTTCAACTAAATTTTTACTGTATATATTAGTATCTTGATATATCTATTGTAGCATAATTTGTAATTTACCTACCATGATTAGAATAATAATTAAGGAATTTATTACATGTAATTGTTAATGTATTATTAGGAATGTCCTATTTACTAAATAAATGTTAAATAAATATAGTTACATCAACACATTAACAAAAAACTTCCGTTGGATACTAGTTTTCCTTGTTGAACGAGCGGTTTCTTCGGCCCAATGATGGAGGTTATGAACATTTTTTATGCTATTTGGATGCCTCGAGCAAATAAACGATAATAAAAACTACCGAAAATAATTACTGATAGGCCAAGTGTGTTTTATACTATTCCTTTGGAATAACGAATCACTATCAAGCACTTTTAGTTTCATTTGTACCCAGTTAGATAGCTATTGCCTTAAGGAAGTTTTAAAAAATTTTTGACAAATGTGGCTTAGAGATTTTTCTAAAAATAACCGCTAGAATGTGGTTGAAATCCACAATTCACAAACAAAAATACGACTTTGTATCTACAGTTTATCTATGATCTAAATTATTTCTGTAATTTTTTCATTCCAAATATGAGACCATAGTGTTGATCATGTATTCAGATTTTCTGGAAACTAACTTTTAAACCCTTGAAGTGTACCCCAAAAGAAATTAAATATCTCAAAAACTATCAACTTTTGCATAATGCATATTAGGGTTTAATTTACTCCTTTTCCACCTTCCCTATCACATCTCCAAAGGAATGTATCGAGTTACCAGTAACCCTGTATAATCACCCTCTATGTTTTTACACAAGAGAACTTTTTTTAGATGATTTCGATATTGTTGAAGAAGCACCCCACGTATTTCAAGAGCCTGCGGAGTGCTTGATCGAAAATTTCGGGGAAGAATACAAGAACACTCTGTATTACAGATATGGCAGAACTAGTTTTTACGATTTGCACGTTTACATGGGAGGGATGAGAACATTTGCTGAGAAATCAAAAGAGACGAAATGAAATATTCTAATACACAGTGGAATTTGTCAGGTATTAAATGCTGTTTAAATTTGTCTGTATAAGTTCGATTAATATGAAATAAATGATATGACATAGAATACTTCAACTTTTGGCACGAATAATCGGCTGGGGATCGATTCGCTGTTGCGTTCCAATTAACAGTGCTGCTCCTAAAGTGGTGCATGGAGTTAGTAACAAAGTCTACACAGAACACGCAGAAAGAGATGATGATGTGGTTGAGAGCATCAGAGAAGAAGTAGGACGGTGTATGTAGGTGGGTGTGGAAAACTACCAGCTGAGCGTGAGAGCGGGCCAGCTGCTTAGTGGACCTCGGGGGTTAACGAGGATAGCTAGCAGGCCTGCCACTGCAGCATACAGAGGCGGACTGGGGGGCCGGGCGGTCGGGCGATCGCCCGATGGGCTGGGGCCCTTTGGGGCCGGAAGAAATAGTGAATGAATGAATGAAGAAATATATGTCTTCTCGACAGCTTTCTGAAGTATGAGACCATTATAACTGCAATTTTGATTAGAGAAATCTTCAATTTCACCATTCCTCTTTCGAGCTAACTATACGAATATCAGGTACCAATGGATATTTTAGAAGAATACCGAATCGTCGAAAAAAACATGAAATCCTTGAAAAAATATCGCGAGAATATAATGTCATTTTGATTGATGCACATACATTCATTGATAAAGCAAATGAACTATTTATTTTCAAAGAACACGAAATGAAAACAGTTTTTTGATGAGATAGGTGATGATGAAGCACCTCAAAATCCCATCAAGAAATTAAAAATTGGGACTATCAATGTAATCATTGATAATTATTATCACCGCACTGGAATTTAGATTCAAGAAACATAAGGAATTGTTTCATGATTTTGAACTATTTGATCCGTCATGATTCACTGATGATCAAATAATATTGACTGAAAACTCAATAAGGATGATTTATGAAAATATCAAAAATTATTATCCTGCTGATGAAATAAGCCTTGATAGATTTCACCTCGAAGTGGGAAGACTGTCGTGTACTTTATCCGAAGATATGATGGGTGGTGGAACTTATGTCTTCGATGTAGAAGAGGAATTGATTTCATAAAAACAGAAGTTTCGCAAAACTTTTTCACTTTGTTGCTTCCATGGTTTGCACAAATACAATTTAAACGTCGAGATCTATCCATAATTAGATAAAATTATTCTCACCCTTTCAGTATCGCAGGTTTAGTGTGAAAGATCTTTCTCAAAATTAAAATTCCTCTTGATTAGGCTAAGAAATTATCTGAGCCAAGAACATTTGAGGCTTTCATGATGATGAGCTGCGAAATAACGATTTAACAATCAATAGGAAGCGACGATATCATTTTCGATTTCGTTGAAAAATGTGGATCCATGAGAGGTTCACTCGTTTTTTAATTTCGATTCCTAATGCGCTTATGTTTCATTTTGGATTAATAATCTTCCTGATCTTTCTGTAGCTTTAATATTATTTACTAAGTGCCTCATGTTCCTCTACCATAGAATGGGCTTATATCACAAAAAAAAATTATTTCATAAATCGATAGAACTCGCCCAAACTAGCTCACCACCGCAAACCGTTTCTTGCTGTGAGCTCCTTATGTTTTATAAAAAATTATTGAAATCACCGATTTTTCGGACCTCTGAAAACGAGGCGATAATGTGACGTCAAAACCCTAATACTGAAACAAGACTATTTCATACAGAGATGAATGATATATGATTTCTGACAGAGTGAATTAGCGCGAGATCACAGTTGAAAGAATTAATATATCAGTTGCCTCAGTCTCCGTCGGGCGTTTGGTATTTTCTTTTAACTATGGCGAGATGAGGTTTCTACGTCATAAGAGGGTCCGTTTTCAGAAGGTACTATTATTTATGTTCACAAATAAAACATTTCAGTTAATTTTACGATCGAATTATGTCGTCAATCATTATTTATGTATAAAAGGATCATTATAAACATGATTTGAGTTAAAAGTTCTACTAAGGTGTACTCGCCCATTATTGTTCATTCTATCTATTCTTATTTTTCATTCATAGAATGTTATTCATTTCATTTTCCTTCAGTATATTTGATGTTTTATCGAAAAATTTTTTCGCTTAAGTTTGATTGGAATCAAAATAATTTGTGATTCTTTCGTTTCTGTCTATGTCACTGAAATATGTGAGGAAATCATATGAATAGCTATATTAGCTTTGACATTTTCTGCGGAGATGGGCCGGTAGGGTTCAATTCGCCCGGGCCGATTCAAAGGTCCAGTCCGCCCCTGGCAGCATATGGTAGAGAGTACATTACTAGCCTATAAAACACAGCCGAAAAACTCTGAAAGAGAGCTGATGGGCGGTGCCTGAAAAGGAAGTTAGCCAGGTCACTTGAGCGAACCACATCAGTCATTGAAAACACTTAGGGACTAGTTGCTGACGTGCAAACGTCCCTCACCAATACCAGTACCAGTTGGCACGAATAATTACACCACACTGTACATTTGTTCATAGTTTTTGAGGTCTACTAAAATATTCGTTTTCTTATGGCCATTTAATATGCTTAAGTAGAGACTTTTTTTAACATAATTTGGATTCTGAAAATCGAGTAGTCTTGGGACTTTTCAAGAACACCACTTTTTTTACAAAGTGAAGCGCTTTTCATGCAGCAAATCCAATTAAAAATATTTGAAGAAACAGGAACAACCTCTATGCCCATACAGGGATTTTCCCGGCAAGCGTTAATTAGATGTTTCTGGAAAACCATCATAAGCAACAGATGAATCTGGAAAATTGACGGTATGTATACATTGAGACGATCTAAACGTCTAAAATATTGTTACGTTATTCGGGTGCAGAAGCGAAAACGACACTATTTATTTTCGAACTGATTTATTTGAACTATAGAAACACTAATTTATAACGAACTTAGAACTACTATTTATGTAAAATGATTTATATCACGCGGTAAATAACTGTCTCTCTGACACTCGCTGCTCGACTCACTGACTGCAGTTGTTCGGTCGTTTATATATGAGATCACTTGGCAGGCTTTGCTTCGAGAACTTTCTCGAATGATCTTCCGTCTCCTTTTTTTTTTTGTTCTAGAAGCTTCCTTGAACAAAACCTCTCTCTCTAATTGTTCCATCGATTGTTTCCAGAATCTTCTTTGACGTTATTTGTCACTGCGACATATATTGAGTGTTCGGAAATATGCTGGTGCATGTAGGAATCATTGGGAGGTTGGAGAACGATCTGGGATGCGTGTTACAGGATGATTGTTGTACTCCTGCCTTCCTGCTGATGATTCTAGTGCCCCGTTAAGGGGAATATCATTACACTATTTTAATCCATGAAACACCCTATATTTCATTGCATTTTTAGATTCTTCCTGAAGAGTTGATTTCATCAATGTAGCTAGGGAGTCTAGCAGAAATGATTACAGAGATATAGGGTGTTCAAAATCGAGATTTTTCAACTTAAGGATTTTTTGTGTCGAAACTATTCATTATTGGTCACTACAGCCATATCCTAACTTTTGATTAACTATCTACTGACAACGTCAATTTACACATAAAGGGACCCTAGTCTAAGGTACCATCGACTGTGGCTTATCCTGTATATTTTTATTTATTGTATTCATATGATTTCAGTTACTCTTCAATAACTCACAAGATTTCAATAATGCAAAAAAAAAAAAAGTGAAATTTGTTATGTGAACCCTAATACTGCCATTCTGATGATTGCTAATCAAAGGTAGTCACAAAAAAAGGTCAAATTGAAAGAATCCTTGAAAAAAAAAATCGCTTTGTATATAAAAATATGATTTATTCAAAAAATGTATCACAGTGTTATGGCTAGAATGTTTCACAAATAAAATTATAAGGGTTGAAAATAATTTGTCACATTTCACAGCATTCAAACTTTCTTTTTACTGCTAATGTTCCACCATACCTTGCTACCATACCTTGTTGCATGATATCCACTATTTTGAAATAGGCCGCATGCCAGTTACAAGTTAACACAGAAAAAATCCTAAAATCAGAAAAAAAATACCTAAACCAAGTTTTTTTGTATTGTTTTCTTTGTTGATTTAGTGAAATCACCATTAGTGTAGGTACCTGTGAAGGAAGTTGAAGGCGGATTGCAATATCTCTATTTTTCTATCAATAGCGAGGTGCTTGAAATGATCGGCTATCATTTCAATATCGATATTAGATGGTTCATCTCCAGACTGAGTCCATTTTTTTATGATTGGTTTCACTTGCTCCCACGTTAAATTGGCAAAAGGAGATTTTCTGCTCATTGGAACTGAAAAAATATATAAATATAAAAAAAATCTTTCAATTATGTGTTTCCAGACGTTCAAATTTGAATATTATGTATGCATGTTTCTTTTAACTAAATAGATATTTACGTTAACAGTTCGGAATTGCGTCATTTTTGTGTAACGATCCCGCAAAACACAGAGTTACACAATAAACATTTCATCACCAGTTATGTAATATTTTACTTAACGAAATTGAATAGTAGAAGTACCAAAGGCACTAAGTGCCATTTTCATAATTCCGAGATAATTAAGGAAACAACTCGGGAAGCAAATTTTTTTATTGTTTTTCATCATGAACATGTTAAATCGATTCTTAACTTCTAGAAATAGGTACTGGTAGAACACAAATCTAATATTTCTATCAATAACATGAAATTTCAAGGTTGTTTGGAACCAAAACTGAAAGGGCATAAGTGCCAAATTATGATTCCTACAGGGGTAATAAATGAAAACAAATATTCCATCCTAAGTGCCTCAAAACTCTCTTCGCCTGAATTAAGAAGTTTTCTTTAAAATATTTTGTGTTCAGGATTTTCTAGGTAGGGGATCATAGATGATAGAGATTTTTTTTTCGTCATCGGTAATCTTATTCTCAAGGAATAAAAGTTTTATTTCTGCAGATTTTAGATCGTCAGCGGTTTTTCCTTTTTTCTTTACGTTGATTTTCTTCCAGGCTTACTGTTGGATCTTTATGATCGATCTTTATTGTAACTGCCTTACTGATATTTGAGGCTTTAGTGTTGAGAAACATATCAACAGCTTTCTTTATATCCCAGAATCCGTTTACAGACATATCAATAACTTCGAATGGCGGATCATATTTCGCGGAAGTTATTACATGATGTAAATCATTTGGCACCATTGCCTTCATGACACGCTTCCTTTTTTCAATGAGAGCAGAGTCTTGGTCACAAGCCATGAAACTGTGACCACTTATTAAAAAGTTATTCTCTATTGTGTCAAAAACTTCATGCAGAGCAAGGAACACTGAAACAAGCGAAATACTCTTTTTTTTTTTTCTGTTAACGTATGCCTTCCCAGCATTCTTTTCCACTCTCTGCTGTTCTATAAACCTCCCTTTAGTATTTATTTGCAAACTTTCCATGTTTACACTGCAATTTATTGTCCAAAAAACTTTCTGGACATAGTGCCTAGATTCATCTAGTCTTAATATGCCGAAGCTTACGAAATAGGATTACGCTTATAACCTTTTTGGGTACATTAGCGATGGTACTTGAAACCATTTTAAGCAAATATCTACAAAAATTAGATTTTGGCACTAGTGCCTTTGGTACTTCCACTCTTCAATTGGTTGCGTAAAGTAAGACATTTCAAAAACTTCCGTCAGTTTTGAAAAATATCAAATTAGATGTCAAAATTAGAAAAAAAAATCAATATTTGGAAAAAGGTACTGGTTGCTATTTTTTTATGCAAAAATCTAACCAACGTCTCTGGAATAATTATTTCATTGAGATATCAACAAACAATGCAAACAAATATTTACTATTTTGTATTGCAATTGTGAAGTAGAATCAGTTTTGTCCGTGTATAATTTTACCTGTATTTGTAGGTTTTGGTGGAAGAATTTTCTCAACTTGATATACTTGTTTCTCTGATTGAGATACTTTATTTTCTATCCTAGAAGCTGGCTTGCTAGTTGTGTCCTGAGCCTCCACTTTTTTGACGTTCAGTTGATATTCTTTTATAATTTCTTCTCTCAACTCTTCTGGCAGTTCTTTCAACACATCCATATCAATTTGACTATTGACCGGAATATACTGAAAATCATACAACTCTTCATTTTAGGGATCCCCCTACAATACTCCCACAAATTATAACAAGTAACCAGGTATTTATTTCAAATAAAGACTTTCATGGAATATTTCGTTTAGTGTATGTATTCGATAAATTTACCTGTTGAGATTTTTGGTTCACCTCAATATTCTTCGACTTAGCAAAATACCTATTCAGGGAAGCTGTTGGAGTCGAATTTTTCGTGGTTTTAATGGTCCCGTTTTTGCTGCCCTTTGGGCGACCTCTTTTGGAGCTTTGCTTCGTTTGAACTACTTTCTTATTCAAGCTAATCTTTTTTTCACTAGATTTATCATCAGTTTTTTCTTTGAAATCGACCTTTTCAATCATCACTGGTTTCTCCGTATTTTCTACTGATCTTTCAGGTGCTTGTTTGAGAAAATTGCTGAGAGCTGTATTCGTAGGGGCGTTTTTTTCTAGTTTGCTGAGTTGTATTCCAACCCCTCTCAAATCTGCAAAGGGGGGATTCAGTTTTTCGTACAGAGATTTAGCTTCTTTGAAAATTATCTGGGAACTATTTATCACCAGGTTTGTTTTCGTACTTTTGCTGAGACTGTCACAAACACCGTGACCAAGAAATTTCGCAGTTTCCTAAAAAAATACAGACTGTCTCAGAAAAAATTCCTGACTTCGTCATCTTTTTCAAATTAAATGATAAACCTAATGGTTTGGAAATTTTGGAATTTTTCAACATAAACTGAAAAGCGTCTAGGTATACCGTTGCTCTTTGAAATCTCGCGTGTATGTCTACAGGGTGTTTGTCTATATTGTCTAAAATCGACACTAATCAATTCTTCACCTGGATTTCCTCACAGTCAATAGGTTCTTACCACTGGGGCATCAGCTGCTCTAACTAACAATTTCAGAGTGAGACATCTGGCTCTCATGTTGATATCACTCAGTCTGTTGTACACTTCGTTTGATAAACTTTGCAAGAAATTGTAACATTCCTCGATGGTTTGGAAACGTATACCATAATTGACTTCAGCAGAAACGGATTTTCTCTCGTGGTGGAAATTCAACGGTCTGTTATCGATACCGTTAGACTGTTCTTTCAAGGTTTCTCCTGCCTTTTGTCCCAATTCAGATTGTAGAACTTTTAGAGAGGCCACCTGGAACATTTTCATACAAAATACAGGAACTTGATATGGATCTGAAATTATTTGATGGGAGATTATTTTCGTTGCATACTCGTTACTTTCACATAGGACTACCATATATTTGAACTACTATGAACTTCCAATATTTCTTCACAAGTCTGCCTGCATTCTGATACTACAATAGCTTCTTCAAATCTACCTTTAATCTCTACTTGTATATATCGGGTGACAACGAAATTATTGACCATGGCGTCATTCGGGTTGTTTTTCAAGGTAGACTTTTGACAAGTAGATCAAAGATATAGTCTTTTAAAACCCATATTTTCCATGGAAAAACAGGTGAATGTCACTTCCGGTTTCACCGGAAATAGACCTAGGTCGAGAACTTTTAATTGAACCTTATAGATATTTTCAAGCCACTCTACATATAGAGCGAAAAATCCCTTTCGACCGACATATCACCAGTGGACATTTGTTTTATAATGGTAGCCCAGGAGACATATTTTCTAAAATCAATATGGCGACAATGTGACAATGTGACGTCATCGATGGTGGCAAGTCCACAGTGTACATATGAACTACTATCCTAATCAAATTCACATCTCCTTATCTTTCAATCCCAAGTAGAAATGAACACGATTAATGCTTCATTTCGGAATGGTTAAACTACTCACCTGTACGTCTCCGCAAGTGTTAAGCCCCAAATTCTTCAATTTAGCCAGGGTAGCTCTACCTACCCCCGGCAGATCAGACAGAGGAATATCTGCCATGTAAGCTTCAACATCATCAGCTTGCAGGTAATATTGTCCAGCAGGTTTTGCTTTTCTAGTTGCTAATCTCGCTTGAAGACGATTCGCACCGAAGCCTGAAGACACAACTATGATTTTCCAGAAAAAATTGTACAGTACTGCTCAAAAAACTCGTAAAGCCATTTTTTATGAGCACTACTGTACATCTAGATTTCATTGTCGTGGCATTTGAATGATGTGGATTCTTACCAGTGGAACAAGGACATCCAGTTACTTTACTGATTTCATTCCGGATATGATTGGCCCATTGCTCAACGGTATAACCGGATTCTTTGAGAATTTTCGTTATATCCACGTACATCTCGTCACAACTCACTGCTTCAATGTCCAAAGTGTATGAGGCAATGGTTTTGTACAACATGTTCGATACTTCTTTGTATCCCTGAGACAATATATTTCGTTATACAGGGTTACATTTTAAACTAGTATTTTCATGCAAATATAATAGGTAGAAATCAGGAATCTATTATTGGTGCCGAAACTGCAACCCAAACTAAATTTATTCATGAACCTGTATGCAAATCAAATGAACAAATAAATTCTAAACACTATCTAGTGTGCAATTTTCTTACCGAATACCACACGAGGTCAAATTATTTCCGGAAATTTTTTCGAGCCAATATATCTTGAAATTTATTCCGAGTCGAAGACGAGTGGTATTACAAGTGATAATTAATAATTATAATTACCTCGAAGTCATACGGTAAGGTTTTCAGTTCAGGGCATAATTTCACGGCTTGTCCCAAAAACATGCCGTTTTTTATTCCAAACTTCCTAGCTTCATAGCTGCAACTAGCTATTTCCGACATGCTAGACTGCGCGTCTATTTTGTCCACCCTAGACATGGCTCCCGCAGGCAGCCTTTCACCATACAGGGCGAACTCTCGTTCCCGGTCAGCTTTCTGATCGCTAGAGACGTTCGCTAATTGGCCATTTCTGGCGTGGGTGATTGCGACCGGTTTACCCCTGAGATCGGGGTGGTTTTTCAGGCCAACGGAAACGAAGAAACAATCCATATCAATGTGCATTATCACCGTATGTATGTATACTGTACCTTGATGATCTGAAATTGGCAATAGGGATTTTTTGAAATTTTGCGGAAAAAAACTAGAAACTTTGTTATCCGTATTCAGAATCCTCATGAAATTTTATATAGATCTTATTTTTTAGATCAAATTTCAGGAATACAATTTATAGTTCATGATCTCTTGAATTGTTTCAGTCTGAATCACGGTTTCCACCTGCAAAATAAAATCTTTTTCTCTGCATTGTGGTATTGTATTATCGATATTATTATGATCATGCAGTGAAAGTGAAAAGGTTTTATTTTTCTAAGCGAAAACCGTGCATCAGATTGAAAAAGTTGTAGAAATCAAATTTGCTTAGAAATGATGAAAATATCAGGATCAAAATTTGATATTTTTTTATACAGGGTGGGCCACCAGTAACGCCTCGGTCTCTAGAAGGCTAACCACTTATCTTCTTGGAATTCTTCCTCTCTAGGAAGTTGCATGTCAACATAGGCTACCATTTAAAATTATTTCTAAACATACAGGGTGTCTCGATTTTGAACACCCTATATCTGTGTAATAATTCCTGCTAGACCCCAAGTATGATAGATTGATGAAATCAACTCTCCGAGAAGAATCTTAAAACGCAATGAAATACAGGGTGTTCCATTTGAAATAACAAAGATGATGCTACTTTTTAGTAAAAGTGGCAACGCTGCATCGCTGAAAATATTTTGAATCGTCAGATCACAAACGCTTATTAGAGTAACCAAATTTTCAGGATAATCCAATGTACCGTTTTCCGTATACGTCTAAGGTACCATCGACCGTGGGTCACCCTGTATAGTACATGTAATGCCAAATATCATTAGAATATCTAAAGTGGTATCACAGATATTATTGAAAAACAATTTATTTTTGAGAATTTTACCACCCTGTATCTCAAAAGTAAAGACGTTTAGGTCATACGTTCATATGAAATTTTCTTCTCAAAATAGTTTCAAGAATATCTAAAGTGGTATCACAGATATTATTAAAAAACAATTTATTTTTGAGAACTTTACCACCCTGTATCTCAAAAGTAAAGACGTTTAGGTCATACGTTCATATGAAATTTTCTTCTCAAAATAGTTTCAAGAATCTGGCGTGTGTGATAGCCAGAAATTGGAAAAAGGAATTTTTTAAATCCTATTGAATCGAAAGTTATGATAGGGACATGTAAGCCGTTTTGATCGATAATGAATAGTTTCGACACAAAAAAATCCTAAAATTGAAAAATCTCGATTTTGAACACCCTATATCTCTGTAATCATTCCTGCTAGACCCCAAGTGTGATGCATTGATGAAATCAGCTCTCCAGGAAGAATCTAAAAATGCAATAAAATACAGGGTGCTCCATCTAAAATAACGAAGTTGCTAGTTGTTTCTGATAGAAGTGGCAACACTGTATCGATGAAAATATTTTAGACGGATAATTTTCAGAATGTTCTGTCTTTTTGTTCTCCGGATACTTCTAATAGGCCATCCACCGTGAATCACCCTGTATATACCTACTCATGCATGCATATGAGAAATGATTCACCTTCATTCTAGATTTTCTGTGTGAATTTCAAATGAATCACCATCATTGAATCATAGTTATTAGTTGATTTGATTCATCTCAGATGAATTTAAATTTCTTTTTGCAATGCTCGGGAGGATAATAATGTTGAATATTATTATTAAAATATATCTTCCTGGTTAGTGCCTATGGCAATAGCTTGAATAACATAAACTCTTTCAAGTAGGTATAGGTATTTCATTTTGATCTTATTGATGTATAGGATGTTTGTGTTTGGACAAAATATCTGTTCCTTTTATAGTTATCAACATTACAAGGCCGATATGTAGCAAATAACATGGCGTCGCCGAGGATTTTAACAACAACCGAATCCGAATCCGTAATCCCACTGAAAAATCACATTTTGATTCGGAGGAAGGAACAAACCATGTACCTTCTAATTTTACAGAAATTCCCAACATCATGTTGTCATGAAACAGCCTAACAATTTAATATCACATTAATATCACCTATAACGTCCGCCGACCGTTAAACAATCTTGAAGGAATGAAGCTGTTAACATTAATGTTTCAATTGTCATCTGAATACTGTAAAATCAAAATAGCAGTATGGGAAACCCAAAACATTTCAATCAGGTGAAGATATATTTCATAGATTTTATTGAGTGTTTATATGCAGATTTTGATACATACACCTATTCATAACAATAAATACTGACAGTTTATGAAAATGCATATTTTTTATCTGGGGATACTGACAGCAATAATGTATCACAATAAATACCTGAATGAGAAAAAATCCAATTTCAGGCTGGGTTTTAGAAAGAACTATTCAACATTTTCAGTTCAAATATTTTTTTAGCCAACACTGCCTAATCCTGATGCATAAGTATACATATCCCCTAAACAATAAATGCCTTCATAAAAAAATATATGGCAATAATTGAAACTTCCAACTCCTAATTTCTTATTTTACATGGAACATGAATAATCAGATAGTGAAAACTCACCTTTGTGTGTCAATCTTTCTCTACCAGGGAATTTTCCATCAGATCTATCCCTCATTTCACCTACTAATTGTTTAAATTCAGCCCCTAGTGTTGAAATTAGATGCAACCTAGAATTATTGTAAAATTCCTCTAAAAAACTGGGATCAGAAGCAGTTTTTGTTGGAAACTTAGGATTTTGCTGAGCTACAACCTTTGTTGTACCTACACTATTTACTTCAGGCTTTACTTCAGCCTTTTCAAATATATTTGGTCCACTTTCAACACTGGTGGATGATTTTTCATCTACTGAAAACCCACTTGTTGAGGGTTTTTCAACAGCTGGGAAATCAATTCTAGGTTGTGATTTGCTCTGATTTGAGTACAGAAGGTATCTGCGATAATCCAACAATTTTTTCAAATCAATGCTATCTGTTATCCATGAGGGCTTAACTACAGGCACTGAACCTAGATGTTTTATCTGGAACACATACATTGAAACACCACATATTCTCTCAAGTAATTAGAAATGACTACCTTCACATTTGGTAAATTTGAAGCAATTATATGTGTGGTACTAGACACCTGGTAAGCATGAAAAATACCACCATGTGCAGCCATCAAATTTTTCAGTTCATGCAGAGGAGGTTTTGTAAGGCCATTGACATGTATAGCTATTCCTTCAAAAAGGCTTGAAACCTTTTTTATCTCAGAATCATGGAATTGGTCCAGGAGTTTCGCTTTCTTGGCTTCCATGTAACCCCCCTGAAATATATTGAAGGGTTCATGATCAATAGTATTGTATTATTAATAGGTATACCCAATGTCCGAATCCCATGTCTTCATCTTCAGTGGTTTTGTCTTTTCTCTTTCGCCCAATTTTCATACCTTCCCCACTTTTAACCATCTCTGTAGGTTTTTTATCATTTTTGTTTGTTTGCATCTCAATTTTTTGAGAAAAGAAAATTTTCGAAATATTTTCCTTTTGTTATGTTAGGTTAGGTTTAAGATGACAATGACTCAATGACAGTATTACAGATTTCTATTATCATTGTTTGCCATCTTTTGATTAGTAGGCGAAGTTGTTCGTTGAATTCTCCTTTTCTACATAAGAGGCGAGTGACAAAAATGCACCTGCCATTTGACCTTTGCGTCATTTTGACACATATAATTTACGAGAAAATGTCAAATTTGTTCATAAAAATCATTTAGTATTATTTCTTCATGTTATATAACAAAGTTTTATGTGGAGTGCTTCTTATTTGAATTTCGTTAGTAGTCTTAATCGAGGTCTTGATAGTAATCTAACAAGTCTCACAATGACAAAAATTTGTCGTCTGTGTTTACAAAAGTTACAAAGAGGTTCCAAATACTTCAACATCAATGCTGTCGAATCCTACACGGGTTTTATGCCTTACCGTGATCAATTAACGACTTGCATTCCTGAAATGGTTTGTACATTTCATTGAAACCTTTTTTGTGATCAATTTGTTCAAAACTGTTGTCATTGCAGGCATTGGACCTAGTTCCAAACCCAGTCATATGCAACAATTGCCGAACCGCCTTGAAATACGCCTATGATTTCAAAACAAGATGTCTCCTGGTGGAAAAAAAGATCCAAGAGTATATAGAAAGTCTACCTGATCAGAAAAACTATGATCTGTCACAACTAGACAACAGCTTTTTACTACCTTTTGACAAAATCCCCATGTTGCTGAAGGGCTTGGAGCAAGACCTGTCAGAAGTGAAAGATGGGCCCAGTGGCCCCCTTAAAAAAGAAACAGAGGTGCAGACCATGAGTGAGTACAATGAAGGTACCATTGACAGTTTCCCTAATTTACGGACCAGGGGGCCAAAAAGGAGGCCAATACATGCTGCAAATTTGGTTGTTAAAACTGAAGATGGAAAGGATTTCATTTGTGGAAAGTGTGACTTGACATTCCCTGATATGTTTCAACTTTTGTCACACAAGTCTGAAGCTCATGCAGATGAGTTTGTTTGCAATTTTTGTGAACAGTCATTCAAAAGTCTGCAAAATTTGAGGAAGCACAATAATGTTTGTTCAAGAAGTAAGTTCCTTTCCATTTATTTCTGTTTCATTTCTTGTTTGATTCCCAGTCATGACTAATATTAGAAAATTGATCAATTCCTTTGATTTCACATAAATTGAAGGTTCTGGATTCACATATACTTAGTTGAACCAGGTTTTCTGTAATTTTCCTCTAGGGTCCCAACCAGAGCAACCAAGTTCTATAATCACAAAGAGACCTCATTTGCCAGCAAAAGCAAAAAATCACCTCAAAAGATGGTTGTTTCGTCACACTGAGGTGAATAAAAATCAATTTCCATATTAGGGTTGGCCCCATTATTGTTTGTATCAATATTTTAGCATCCCTATCCAACTGACCATGAGAAGCAAATGTTGATGCAAGAAACTCATTTGTCTCTTCTTCAAGTTGAAAATTGGTTTATCAATGCCAGAAGAAGGATTTTACAGGATCTGACAAAACTGAAAAGGCGTGGAGTGAAGTCAAGTAAGCAATATAGTCTTTTGTTTCTCAAATTGAATACAGATTACATGCCTACATTTTTTATGAGCTTATTGAGGAGCTGATATTTTCAGTCAAAATTTTTTTCTCAAATAGTGAGGACCAAAAAATTCAATTTTTTTACTCAATATATAGAAAGTTAGGTACTCCATTCACTGTATTGATAAGCTAAATCAAGTATTGATGACAATACAATGATTTTGTATCATTATTGTTCAGTACTATTTGTGTTTTCTCCACTATCACACTTATAACTTATATTTTCTACCAAACTCTAGCTGGAAAATCATAAATATCACCTTTTTTCATGTAGTTGTGTTTTAATCAGAAAAAAGAAGACTCAACTTTTCCTAAAAATGATATTCAGTACATAAAGCAGTGCACATTACAAATTATATACATTGTATTCATATTCAATTATATACAGTGTGAAAGTTTTTTTATCAAATGATTGTATGCACACTCCTATGCACATGGAAATATTTTAAATTGTTTTGTGGCTCATCTGATGGTAATTCTAGAATTCCAATTGCTAAAATCATAATGATAATACTGTCATGCACTCTTTGGCATTGAAAATTCGGGAAATTTCATGATATTTTCCGCCATTTGAATTTGATTAGAAACCTTGAAACATTGGCTATTTACTGTTATGGAAGAATGACCAATGAATATTTGCTGACTGAAAAGCTACCTTACCTAAACAACTGATTTGACAACTGAGGCCATAACCTCAAGAACCCAATTAGGCAATTTTTCGACCCAGAAAAGACATTGGCTCAATTAGAAATGAGCCATCTCTGCTCTGAAAAAAGTTTGGATTTTATGATCAGCCCTACTGCCCAATGTGCCAAAATCAAAAAATATCTCCTCTATCTGCCAAAATGTAGACTCCATTTCTATTCTACCTAGATAGACAGTTTTTTGACCCAGAAAAGACATTGGTTTAGCTCTGAAAAAAGTTTGAATTTTTTCATCAGACCTACTGCCCAATGTGCCAAAATCAAAAAATATATCCACTATCTGCCAAGATGTCACTCCATTTCGATTCTGCCACCTAGATAGGCAGTTTTTCGATGCAGAAAAGACATTGGCTTAGTCAAAAGTGAGCTCTCTCTGCTCTGAAAAAAGTTTGGATTTTGTCATTGGACCTTATGCTCTGTAAACCGAATTCGAAAAAACTCTCCGCTACCTGTCGAGATATCGACTTCATTTCGGTTTTGCAACCAAAATAGGCAGTCTTTTGACCCAGAAAAGACATATGCTAGTCAGAAGTGAGCTCTCTCTGTTCTGAAAAAAGTTTGGATTTTGTCATCGGACCTTATGCTCTGTAAACCGAATTCGAAAAAACTCCGCTACCTGTCGAGATATCGACTTCATTGCGGTTTTGCAACCAAAATAGGCAGTTTTTTGACCCAGAAAAGACATATGCTTAGTCAGAAGTGAGCTCTCTCTGCTCTGAAAAAAGTTTGGATTTTGTCATCGGACCTTATGCTCTGTAAACCGAATTCGAAAAAACTCTCCGCTACCTGTCGAGATATCGACTTCATTGCGGTTTTGCAACCAAAATAGGCAGTTTTTTGACCCAGAAAAGACATATGCTTAGTCAGAAGTGAGCTCTCTGCTCTGAAAAAAGTTTGGATTTTGTCGACGGACCTTATGCTCTGTAAACCGAATTCGAAAAAACTCTCCGCTACCTGTCGAGATATCGACTTCATTTCGGTTTTGCAACCAAAATAGGCAGTTTTTTGACTCAGAAAAGACATATGCTTAGTCAGAAGTGAGCTCTCTCTGATCTGAAAAAAGTTTGGATTTTGTCATCGGACCTTATGCTCTGTATACCGAATTCGAAAAAACTCTCCGCTACCTGTCGAGATATCGACTTCATTTCGGTTTTGCAACCAAATTAGGCAGTTTTTGGACCCAGAAAAGACATTGGCTTAGTCAAAAGTGAGCTCTCTCTGCTCTGAAAAAAGTTTGGATTTTGTCATTGGACCTTATGCTCTGTAAACCGAATTCGAAAAAACTCTCCGCTACCTGTCGAGATATCGACTTCATTGCGGTTTTGCAACCAAAATAGGCAGTTTTTTGACCCAGAAAAGACATATGCTTAGTCAGAAGTGAGCTCTCTGCTCTGAAAAAAGTTTGGATTTTGTCGACGGACCTTATGCTCTGTAAACCGAATTCGAAAAAACTCTCCGCTACCTGTCGAGATATCGACTTCATTTCGGTTTTGCAACCAAAATAGGCAGTTTTTTGACTCAGAAAAGACATATGCTTAGTCAGAAGTGAGCTCTCTCTGATCTGAAAAAAGTTTGGATTTTGTCATCGGACCTTATGCTCTGTATACCGAATTCGAAAAAACTCTCCGCTACCTGTCGAGATATCGACTTCATTTCGGTTTTGCAACCTAATTAGGCAGTTTTTGGACCCAGAAAAGACATTGGCTTAGTCAAAAGTGAGCTCTCTCTGCTCTGAAAAAAGTTTGGATTTTGTCATTGGACCTTATGCTCTGTAAACCGAATTCGAAAAAACTCTCCGCTACCTGTCGAGATATTGACTTCATTTCGGTTTTTCAACCAAAATAGGCAGTCTTTTGACCCAGAAAAGACATATGCTTAGTCAGAAGTGAGCTCTCTCTGTTCTGAAAAAAGTTTGGATTTTGTCATCGGACCTTATGCTCTGTAAACCGAATTCGAAAAAACTCCGCTACCTGTCGAGATATCGACTTCATTGCGGTTTTGCAACCAAAATAGGCAGTTTTTTGACCCAGAAAAGACATATGCTTAGTCAGAAGTGAGCTCTCTCTGCTCTGAAAAAAGTTTGGATTTTGTCATCGGACCTTATGCTCTGTAAACCGAATTCGAAAAAACTCTCCGCTACCTGTCGAGATATCGACTTCATTGCGGTTTTGCAACCAAAATAGGCAGTTTTTTGACCCAGAAAAGACATATGCTTAGTCAGAAGTGAGCTCTCTGCTCTGAAAAAAGTTTGGATTTTGTCGACGGACCTTATGCTCTGTAAACCGAATTCGAAAAAACTCTCCGCTACCTGTCGAGATATCGACTTCATTTCGGTTTTGCAACCAAAATAGGCAGTTTTTTGACTCAGAAAAGACATATGCTTAGTCAGAAGTGAGCTCTCTCTGATCTGAAAAAAGTTTGGATTTTGTCATCGGACCTTATGCTCTGTATACCGAATTCGAAAAAACTCTCCGCTACCTGTCGAGATATCGACTTCATTTCGGTTTTGCAACCAAATTAGGCAGTTTTTGGACCCAGAAAAGACATTGGCTTAGTCAGAAGTGAGCTCTCTCTGATCTGAAAAAAGTTTGGATTTTGTCATCGGACCTTATGCTCTGTATACCGAATTCGAAAAAACTCTCCGCTACCTGTCGAGATATCGACTTCATTTCGGTTTTGCAACCAAATTAGGCAGTTTTTCGACGCAGAATAGACATTGGCTTAGTCAGAAGTGAGCTCTCTCTGCTCTGAAAAAAGTTTGGATTTTGTCATCGGACCTTATGCTCTGTATACCGAATTCGAAAAAACTCTCCGCTACCTGTCGAGATATCGACTTCATTTCGGTTTTGCAACCAAATTAGGCAGTTTTTCGACGCAGAATAGACATTGGCTTAGTCAGAAGTGAGCTCTCTCTGCTCTGAAAAAAGTTTGGACTTTGTCATCGGACCGTATGCTCTGTATACCGAATTCGAAAAAACTCTCCGCTACCTGTCGAGATATCGACTTCATTTCGGTTTTGCAACCAAATTAGGCAGTTTTTGACCCAGAAAAGACATTGGCGCAGTCAGAAGTGAGCTCTCTCTGCTCTGAAAAAAGTTTGGATTTTGTCGTCGGACCGTATGCTCTGTATACCGAATTCGAAAAAACTCTCCACTATCTGTCGAAATATCGACTTCATTTTGGTTTTGCGACCTAATTAGGCAGTTTTTCGACCCAGAAAAGACATTGGCGCAGTCAGAAATGAGCTATTTTTGTTATGAAAAAAGTTTGGATTTCGTTATCAGACCTACTGCTCAAAGTGCGGAAATCAAAAAAACATCTCCGCTATTTGTCGAGATGTCGACCTCTTTCCGACATTTCGACTTATTTAACTAGTTTTTCGGCCCGAAAAGACATTGACATAGACAGAAATGAGCTATCTCTACTTTGAAGAAAGTTCTAAAATCTCTGGTTCCAATTAACCTTTCAAATTTTGAAAGCTGTGCTACCAAATAAGTTTACCTGTCGAGACGACTCCATTCCAATTTTGCGAACTAATTAGGCAACTTTTCGACCCAGAAAAGACATTGGCTCAATTTCAATGTGCCAAAATCAAAAATTATCTCTATCTGCCAAAATGTAGACTCCATTTCTATTCTACCTAGATAGACAGTTTTTTGACCCAGAAAAGGCATTGGCTCACCTTTGAAAAAAGTTTGAATTTTTTTATCATACCTATTGCCCAATGTGCCAAAATCAAAAAATATATCCACTATCTGCCAAGATGTCACTCCATTTCGATTCTGCTACCTAGATAGGCATTTGTTCGACCCAGAAAAGACATTGGCTTAGTCAGAAATGAGCTATCGCTGCCCTGAAAGAAGTTTGGATTTTGTTATCAGACCTACTGCTCAAACTGCCGAAATCAAAAAAACATATCTGCTATCTGTCGGAATGTCGACCTCTTTCCGATATTTCGACTTATTTAACCAGTTTTTCGGCCCAGAAGAGACATTGGCGTTGACCAAAATGAGCTATCTCTGCTTTGAAGCCAACATCAAAAAATATCTTCGCTAATTAACCTCTCAAATTTTGAAACCTGCGCTACCAAATAAATTTATCGTCCACCTCTATAGCAGTTCCGAAAACTTCCACCAGAGGTCAGCGGCTTGTGTGATTGTTACAAATGAACACTGAAACGACATAAAACCGTGGACATAACCTCAATTCTAACAGAAAAAAAGTTTCCGATTATTAACATTCCGTGAAATACGCATCGCTAGGAAAAAAATCAAGACACAATGTTTCCCCAGTGGACGATCCCGTGCTAGGGATGGAGCTGGAACTGGAAGAGATCCTGTTGCCCCTATCGCCCCCAGCTGCCCCTGAGCAACTCGATCCCCTAGGGGATGTCGATGACCGCCCTTCCACCTCCCCTCACGACAGTTTCAACGATAGTGTCAACGACAGTTTCAGCGACAGTGTCAACGATAGTGTCAACGACACTGTCAACGTCAAAAAGGAACCGGAGATACAGGAGGAACAATTGGATTTGGGGTCGCTGAAGTGTGAGGCCGTTGAGGATCGGTAATTCTAGAGGGTGGGTTGGTTGGTTGGGGTGGTTGGTGTTCTTTTGTGGTAGGATTGGAGGACTTGTTTTTTTTTGTAGGTCGCTTTAAGGGGCATTTCCATGCATCTGTCTTCATGAAAATTTTCCTATTGGTTGAATATTTGAAGTGACTAGTCGTAAACTTTTTCGTACGAAAGTTGTCATCTGTTACCGACGTCGAATATTATCGTCATGTGTCTACGAGGATTTATGGAAATCTTTGAGGGCATATGAGAAATCTTAAGAAACATAAATCCATGAGAATTCAAGAGATTCAAGTGGAAGTTATCAGGAGAGAGGAGAATCATCGTGTATCTATGAGGTTTCATGAGAATCTCTGAGAGTATACGGGGAATTTAAGTCAACCTATGATTCTGTAAGGATTCAAAAGATTTCAACGAAAATTGTCAGAATTTATGAGAATCATAATGTATATGAAGAATATTGAGAAACATACGAGGAGTCATGAGATTTGAGTGGACATTATCATATATGAGTCAATTCAAGAACCTTTACTTGTAGACGGCCCTTTTGTGGTCCTCGAATTGGGCTTGATGGATGCATGGAAATGCCCTTTTATGGTCCATTTCAAGTGGAAGGCAGCTTTAGGAATCATAGGGAAGGGGTGACTCATTATCTCAAGGAGATGCAACATCTCCTAAGGAGATGCAACTTCTCGTTTATTAAAGCAGTGTAATACAGTACAGTAATAAATGAAAACCGAGTTGGAAGGCGAGAGATATAATATTGTTTGTTCATGGAACTAAATTATTCATTTTTTATCCTAATCCTAGAAATGTATCAAATTCCTGTTCATAGCCACTTTTCTGTTGAGTTTATGATCAAAAATTTCTCATGTACATTTCAAGTACTGATGCATATACTGTTGTTTATGCAATAATACTTTTCTGGATTCATTGATTTTATTTGAATTTGAGCAGGAATAGCATACAATCTAAGAATAAAAAGATAGAGACTGCTCATTCACTCAATATTGGTAATAATCAATTTATTATTATAAAAAGAATAATGCCTAGGTGGCTCAAGAAGAAAGTGATAGCTACTTCTTTCAAAATCCACCAGTTGAATTATAATGGGGTTCACAATGAAACGACATATCAAATCAAATATCATGTAAATGTCGTTTCACAGATAACATTGATGAAATAATATAAAAAAGAACTAGTATTTACGAAACATAACCTAGAACAAACGAAAATATTCCAAATTCTACTGGCTACTCGATATTTGACCATCAAAGTAAAAGTGACTCTGGTATCGAAATTTACGTTCAATAAAACGACAAATTATCCAACTGGTAATGCCTGTCACCTGTCTAATATTATGACACATAACGTCACGTTGACAGTCACGAAGACTTCCGTGTGGGAAGCTTATCATGCTTATCATATGAACACACCTACCGTCTTCTTACTTGGAATGTACTGTAGGAGCATATTTCTATTGGCCTAAAGACATAACCTGAAATCTAGACCATATATGTCATACCCAACAACTTGAAAGTATCATCCAAATTGCTCGTCCGGAAGGATCCGAACTGTCATTCATGACATTGACTTATGTCACTAAAATGTTCAGGAACGTGAGTAAGAGTGACCCCTGATTACCTTAACGCACCTCAACGTTATAAATCAACGTTCCTCAATTAGTACCGTAAGACGATGAAATAAAGTGGACATTTATAGATTTTCCAGAATTTAAAACGCGCCAATCTTGTCATATTAATTTGTATTATTATTTTTGTCCAGACTATCGGGTATATATGACAGATGCTAAATGCTGCTCCATGGAATGCAGTTCGATCTTGTGGCATTAATGGTCTAGATTGCAGGTTATGTCGCAAAAAAAACAAGAATCTCATCAAAATTGATCGCCTGGTCTCAGGATGCCATCAAAGAACATCAATCATAGTCAATATGCATGACTGAGTGGAAGAGTCCAGACTTTATGATATCGAGAATCAAGACGCATTCCATTGACAGATCGTTTGAAAGTTTGTACCAAAATTGTATATTATGGTGTATAGGTATTCAATCTTAGGGTAGGTATTCACGGTCCTGAGTGCATATTTTGATAATCATCACAAATATACCTGCTAAATCGCACTTGATTACTTGTAAAAGTTTATGACTATATTTTAGAACAATGTTCAATTTAACAAAATAAGTACAATTTATTATTTTTTTATGGACCTATTGTAGGAAGCAATTTACAACAAATAAACAGTTGACTCCACATTACCCACCGCATAAAAAAAACAACTTATCACGCACTATGCCATTTGGTTAATGCAGTGATCAGTAACTTTTCTGCAGCTGTTCAGTTGTGATTGGAAAATGCTAGGATATTTTTTTATGATTTTTAGTTTTACAATCCAGTTGAAATTTTATGATATTTTTTCGAATTATGAACTATGTGGTATACTTTTCGAGCAAAACGTCAATCAACTTTTCGATCTGTTGGATGATTTTGTACATTGGGTATGAATGGATGATATACCGAGTGATGCAGGAGGCATCTAAAAACCTGTGATTTTTTTGTATAATTATTATCATATACAGAGAAGTGCACATAAAACGACCAGGACTGTAACTTTCTAATTATTCGAGATAGGGTTTTGAAAGTTGGTGGGCAGCTAGTATACCAAATTGCTCATCAATTGACGAAACAATTTGTGTTCTATCACTCCCGTTTTTACTGGAAATGACCCCAACTTTTGATTTTTAAATATATTCCATAATCGGTTAGGGATTGTCATAACGAATTCATCGATACCGAGTTTGAAAGGGTTATTTCAAATGATTACGCAGATATTCGCGTTCTAAGTTTCCATATGCTCAACGAGTGTGACAGAGAAAGAAGTTTTGATATTGCCAAGTCACACCCATCGAGCATATGGAAACTTCGAACGCAACAATCTTTGTAATCGTTTGAAATAACCCTATCAAACCCGGTATCGTTGAATTCGTCATGACAATCCCTAACCGATTATGGAATACAAAAATCAAAAGATGGGGTCGTTTCCGGTGAAATTGGAAGTGATAGGAGAAAAATTGTTTCATCAATTGATGAGCAATTTGGTATACTAGCTGCCGACCAATTTTCAAAACCCTATCTCAAATAATTCAAAAGTTATAGTCCTGGCCGTTTTTTGTGCATTTCTCTGTATACCGGGTGGCTACGGAAGTATTGCATACGGAATATCTCAGTTATTGTATGAAGTAGGTTTGTGAAATTTGGAGCGTCGATATAATGACATAAGAGCTAGAATTTGAGCATATTGACATGTCGAAGTTAACTTCCGGTCTGACCGGAAGTAACATCAACTTTCTTATTTTAAATGGAAACCCTTTTTTTTTCTTTTCGCTTTATTCAGCTCAATTCCCTTTCTAATGACATATCACAAGTTGGTATCTAACCAGAAACTAGATCAGAAAAAAAATATTATTGAAATTCACCGAGTAGGCCGTGGAAGCAAAATGAAAGCCAAAAATTGAGAAGTTGGCTATGGAAACTATACGTCACTTGATAACAATTGCTACTACTGTGATATTTTATTTTCATTCGTCGGCGTTATAAAAAGCCGCCAAAAAAATATTGGAAAAATTGGGAAAAAACAATACTCTGTAGGTCAATAACTCAAATAGAAACATACAACTTTTTCTTGCCTGTAGTATTCAGCATAACCATTTCTTTCTGATGATATAATAGAAAGTCATTTTTTGGCTTTCATTTTGCTTCCACGGCCTACTCGGTTTTAATAATAATTTTTTTCTGATCTAGTTTCTGGTTAGATACCAACTTGTGATATGTCATTAGAAAGGGAATTGAGTGCTGAATAAAGCGAAAAGAAAAAAAATAGGGTTTCCATTTAAAATAAGAAAGTTGATGTTACTTCCGGTCAGACCGAAAGTCAACTTCGACATGTCAATTTGTTCCAATTCTAGCTCTTATGTCATTATATCGACGCTCCGAATTTCACAAACCTACTTCATACAATAACTGAGATATTCCGTAGGCAATACTTCCGTAGCCACCCGGTATACTATTTTAAGAGGATTTTTTTTTCGTTTCTCATGAAGGAATATTCATGTATCACAACGTGAGCAGACGAGGGAATCAATGAAAAACAAAACCTTGTGATTGATACATTATTGATTCCAAGTCGAATATGTTCATGATTAGGATTCAACATTTGAAAATTTTGGGATGTTATATGTCTGCTGTGTCACCCGGTAGAATATGAAATGTTGCCAGTAAGTGTCAGAGAATTTTTGAGAATATGAGTGAAACTCTTAGAATAGACGTACCTAAGTAATATATATGTGGTCATGGTGGAATTAGAATAATATAATGAATGTTTTTACATTGCATTTTCTGGATACTAATCATTATGGGTTGCTACATTTTCCAAAAATACGCCCCTTCGGATTTTGGTATTGAATAAAGTGGTCAAAAATTTCTATATGTATATTTTGACCACTTTTACCTCGACTTTTATACAGGGTGTTTCAGTTTTTTGTAGCACGACTTTAACAACTTGAAGAAGACATTTTTTCAAGATGAAAATCTCAAAAAAAATATATGCGTGGGAGCTTCGTTTCCGATTTACAGGGTGTCAAAGTTTCAGATTTTTTTTATGTTTTTTGAATTTTCTCCTACAATTTTCGGAATAATTGACTGAGATTCGGTACACCTGATACACTTCAAAAACTCAATATTTGAGGCTATTGAGCGTTTTCGAATACCTACAGGGTGATAGACTTTCAGGGGTCGTACCCAATTTAACCCTGTAGAACTTTTTTGCGTGCCGCCTCTGCTTTCAATGGGACGTACATTCAGATTGTTTCTTCGCAATTTTGAAACTTTTTGCCCCCATGTATGTTTTTCGAAAACTATGGATTTTGAGATAAATAAAAGTGGAATCCGAACCACTTCTGAGGGTACTGATAAAATTAGAA